GTTTCCTCCTTTTGCCCTCCATTTGTGCCTCTTCAAATTCAGCAGCACTGCTGGTTACAGCTGGCCTCCAGTTAGAGTGCTCAAGGGCCAGGGCTTCCCAGTTCTCGGTGTCTATGCCACAGTTTTTAAGGTTGGCTTTAAGCCCATCTTTAAATTTCTTTTCCTGCCCACCAACATTCCATTTTCCGTTCTTGAATTGGGAGTATAGTAACTGCTCTGGGAGACAGTGATTGGGCATTCGGACAACGTGGAGTTGATGGTGTAGAAACATCACTTCAATGCTGGTGGTCTTTTTTTCTTCCAGCACGCTGACATTTGTCCACTTGTTTTCCCAAGAGATTTGCAGGATTTTTCGGAGGCAACATTGATGGAATCGTTCCAGGAGTTGCATGTGACATCTGTAGACAGTCCACGTTTCTCAGGCATATAGCAGGGTATGCAAACTGAAGCAGACCCATTGAATTAGTGAACTTGGCAAGTCAGTATTTAATGCAACAGTTAATTTAGTTAGGCCCACTCTAGTTGGGCCTTTAATGCTTTTTGTGTAAACCATAGATTCTGCATAATTCTGCCAGAAGTGTGGCCTAACACATCCACATGTCTTCACAGGGTTGATGATGATGAGGAAATCATCGTGAAGGCCATGAGCGATTACTGGATTGTGGGCAAGAAGTCTGATCAGCGGGAACTGTATGTCATTTTGAATCAGAAAAATGCAAACCTGATTGAAGTCAATGGTAAGGAGGATTGGAGATATGGTCAAGAATTGCTTTCATTATTATTTATCGACTAGCTTGTCCCGGTTGTTTGAAAGTCAATTTTAACTGTACAAAATGCATAAGGTTGTGGGTGAACTACAACTCATATCATTCCAGGTTAACCTCCAGAAACTCCATCAGTACTTTGGCAGGGTATAAAAATAAAGTTGTTGTTATTATTATTATCTCACCAATTATGGTGAGTCACTCCCCTCAAACCCCTCCAGTAGATTGAAGTAGTCATGGGGATTCTGTGTGGCAAGTTTGGTCCAGGTCAATCATTGATGGAGGTCACAGTTGCTGTGGTTGTGGGTGAACTACAATTCCCAGAAAGGAAGGTCACTTCCCCCCCCCCCCCCAAACCCCTCCAGTAATCAAATTTCAGCATTTCAGGTCTGTGTGCCAAGTTTGGTCCAGATCCATCGATGTTTGTGTTCACATTGCTCTGTAAATGTAGATGAACTATAATTCCTATAAATCAAGGTGAATTTCCCACAAAGCCCTCCTGCATTTTTTGTTGACCATGAGGATTCTGTGTGCCAAGTTAGTCCCAGGCCATCATTGGTGGGGTCCAGAGTGCTCTTTGATTGCAGAGGAACTATACACCCCCGTACCTACAATGATTAAATCAAGGTGAATTCCCCCCACATCTCTCCAGTATTTATGTTATTCATGGGAGTTCTGAGTGCCAAATATAGTCCAGGCCCATTGTCAGTGGGGGTCACAGTGAACTACAACTTCCATAATGTGGAGTCAATCTCCCAAACTCCTCCAGTATGTTTACTTGCTGATTAGTTCTGTTCTGTTTGTTGTGCAGACAGAGTTGAAAAGAGTAGGAAAGGGTTAAGGGAGAGGCAGTGGGTGGGATCATGCAAATTCCACGCCAATGAAGAGAGCAAGAAACACTGGGATGTCTCTGTGGTGTAGGAAACACGTAAAATCTAAGATGAAATTGTCCTCGAAGGAAAGCCTTCACTTGGGTAATGGATGGGCAGTATGATGTTTGGGGAAGACATTGGCAGGAGTTGGGAGACATATTCATGGTGCTCGCTATTTAATCTATTACATCTGGCCCTGCCATAGTGTTTTAAATCTCTTGTGTATTACTGGTTATATGTTAGTTATATTATTTGTATTGTTTTATTTGCTTGCTTGCTTGCTTTGTTGTTGTATTAATGTATTTATGGGCTTGGCCTCATGTAAGCCACCCCGAGTCCCCTTGGGGAGATGGTGCCGGGGTATAAATAAAGTTGTTATTATTATTATTATTATTATTATTATTATTATTATTATTATTACCTGAAATGTCATTGGAGGGAGTGTTTTTGGTGGCTCCCCAACACTGTGGGTTATAGCTGTTTGTGGAGGCGGGAGGGCACCTCAGCCACATAAACACATATGCATTTTCACTTTTATTATGTGTATAGATGTATAGATAAGATACAGATGTATAGATGTATAGATAAGATACCTTTTTCTTCCTTCTTCTCCCTCCAGAAGAAGTAAAGAAACTTTGTGCAACACAGTTCAACAATATTTTCTTCTTGGATTGATTAGCCAATGGCCCGTTCCTATGAAGATGGCTTTAAACAGGTCTGGAAAGCATTTTTGTTTACTGTGACAGGTAATTAAGTCATATTATTGACTGGAACAATGACAATAGTAAAGCAATACTTACTTTGTAAGAATCAAATTTCTACCAAAACCGATCATACGATTTTTAGATTTTAATGTATTTATGTGTAAGTTAATTAAAATGGGTCTGAATTCAATATGTGTCATTCCATTCCTCTGATATTGTTATGTGAATATTTTACTGGAAAAAAATAAAAGTAATCATTGTTACAATTTTAATTGGTCTTATTATTATTATTTAGTTGCAGGATCTCACACATTCCGGGAGATGTAGTTTCTCTCCCAAAGGAGGCTGGGGCCTCACCAAATCCCAGGATGCCAGAGCAACTAAAGTGGTGCCAAACTGCATCCATTCCACAATATAGAAGTGCTCTAGAAGAAATTCCCTTAATGTAACTTCTATGAAGAGCCAACTTCACAAAGAGGCCAGAAAAAAATGAGACTTTGACCACATGAAAGAAATCTAGGACCCTTAAACCATATTTAACTATGGGCTTTTTCAGGTGGTAAAGATGGAAAATGAACCAGCATGGTGCGGTGGTTTCAGTATTGGACTAGAATGCTGGATGATCTGGGTTCAAATCCTTCTTCATTCATGGGAGCACCCAGGTATTTCAACAAAGCTAAATTCAACAACAGCATGGACATTCAGTACAACTGATTTCTATAAATATAATTATGTGCATAAATATAATAGGATTACGTGTTAACTTTAAATCCTTAAGTCAGTAAAAGTAAAGGTTTCCCCTTGATATTAAGTCTAGTCGTGTCCGACTTTGGGGATTGGTACTCATCTTCATTTCTAAACCGAAAAGTCGGCATTGTCCATAGACGCCTCCAAGGTCATGTAGCCAGCATGACTGCATGGAGTGCTGTTACCTTACCTATTGATCTACCCACATTACATGTTTTCAAATTGCTAGGTTGGCAGAAGCTGGGGCTAACAGCAGGAGCTCACCTCTCTCCCTGGATTCAAACCTCCGATCTTTCCATACATGTACAATACATGTACATTAAAATATATTTTATATTGGCATTAAATAAATGGGAGCCTCCCAGTTCTTTCATCCACTTCCAGCTGAGTTATTTACCAGTTACACCTACAAAACACTCCTACTCCAACACAGTGGAAATAAATTCCACTGGTTTCAATATTATTCTGAAAAATAGAACTGCAGCCCTGGTAATGTTCATGGTCTAGGCCAGGCATGGGCAAACTTTCTAACTTAGGGGGCGCATGGCAGGCTGGAGCAAGGAGGGCAGGCCAGGAGGGAGGGGTTTCTCCCCAAGTCTCCTCTCTGCCCTTTCCTCTTCTATTTCGGAGGCAGAAAATGAAGGAAAGATAGCTAATGTTTGGATCCCAAAAGGGCTGGTCTTGGTTAGGATGAGATGGTGGACAGGAGAGGAACAAGTATCCATGAGACCCCGTATTGCCTACTCCTGATATAGAATCCTCAAGCTGGATGAGACCCCCAAGGGCCATCCAGTCCAACCCCCTGCCATGTAAGAAGGCACAATCAAAGTACTTTCAGTAGACAGCCTCTGCAGAAAAAGTCTCCAGAGAAGGAGACTCCACCATACTCTGAGGCAGCCAATACCACTCAACAGCTCTTACTCTCAGGAAGTTCTTCCTAGTCTTTTCAGTCGAATCTCTTTCCCCGGCATTTGAAACGATTGCTTCCTTGTGAGCAGCAGGAAGTCAGTTTTCCTCCTCCTCCATGGGACACCCTTTAAAATCATGAAACATGGTTCTCATGTTCCTTCTCTACCTTCTCTTTTCTCCCAGCTAAGCATCCCCTGGGAGAAAAGAAGGAAGGAAAAAGAGAATGGAGAAAAAGAAGAAAGGAAAGGAATGCACGAAGGTAGGGAGGAAAGAGAGAAGGAAGAAAGAAAAAGGAAGGAAGGAAGGAAGGAAGGAGGAAGGGAAGGAGGGGGGGAAAAGAGGGGAAGGAAGGGAGGGAGGAAGGAAGGAAGGAGGAAGAGGAAAAGGAGGAGAAGGAAGGAAGGGAGGAGGGGAGAAGGAAGGGAGGAAAAAGAAGGAGGAAAAGAAGAGGAAGAGGAGGGAGGGGGGAGGGAGGAAAGAGGGAAGGAAGGGAGGAAAGAGGGAAGGAAGGGAGGGAAGGAAGGAAGGAGAAAGAGGAGAAGGATGGAGGAAATGGAAGGAAGGAGGAGGGGAGAAAGGGAGGTAAGGAAAAAGAGAATGGAGGAAAAGAAGGAAGGAAGGAAGGAGGGAGGGGGGAGGAGGGAAAGAGGGAAGGAAGGGAGGGAAGGAAGGAAGGAGAAAGAGGAGAAGGATGGAGGAAATGGAAGGAAGGAGGAGGGGAGAAAGGGAGGTAAGGAAAAAGAGAATGGAGGAAAAGGAGAAAGAAGGATGGAGGAAAAGGAAGGAGGAGGGGAGAAAGGGAGGTAAGGAAAAAGGGAAGGAGGAAAGAATAAGAGAAAGAAAGATAAGATGGAGAGAAACCGCGAGAGGGCTCGAGAAAAGAGGCCAAGGGGCCACATCCGACCTCCAGGCCTGGGTTTGCCCATGCCTGGTCTAGTCTGTGTTTCAGAAATGTTCAGTAATCTGTTTCTAACTAGGTTGTGAGGGTCATCTTGACAAAGCCATTGATTTCATAAAAATACTTTTATTACTAGTACAATTCAAAGGCCCCAACGAATGGATGTCACGTGGCTCTACTGGGCCGCCTTCTTCTTCTTCTTCCCTCCTGCCGTCGCCTTGCTGCTTGGCGGCACTTGAGGCACAACGGGAGGCTCTTCTTTCGGCGGAGGGGGAGGCTGCACAGAGATCTCCTCCATCTCTCGGCCCATGCTTTCTTCCAGCTCTAAAGCTGCCTTCTCGGCTGCAGCTGCGGCTTCTTCCAGTTTTCTTAATTCTTCTGCCTCCCGCATAGCTTTTAGCCTGTGATCAAACACGGAGTGGGAAAGCAATCATTGCATTTTTAACCCGCGACTTCTGGGACAAGTGGAAGCAACTTTAAACTAATAGAAGTCAATTCACAGCACAGTTCAACCAAACTGCAGAATCCATACCAGCCCTTCTAAACAACACACTTGTGGTTTGTATTGTTCGTATTCCCCATCGTGGTCACTGTGAATCGCACATATGGTAATTCACAGGTGACCACTCGGGGAACTACGGTTACAGGTAAGCAACCCATATTTTATACCCCACTTTTTCTCTGCCAAAGGACACTCAAAGTGGCTAAATAAAAAACCTAACGCTTATAAACATTAGAATTGAACACATAAATATTTTTTAAATAATTAGAACAAATAAAACCATTAAATAAATCTATTGAACGGTTAATCCTGTGTTGGTCTGTGACAACAACAGAAAGGAAATAGCTGGAATCCAACAAGCACAAAGGCTGTGCCAGTCCCTGACACGGTGGGAAATGGCAATTGTTGGTTCTGCTCTAGGAAATGATTTACTAGGCCTCTGTAGCAAGGGCATTTTTAAAAAATAATTAGAACAAATAAATACAACCATTAAATAAATCTATTGAACGGTTAATCCTATGTTGTTCTGTGACAACAACAGAAAGGAAAGCCGGAATCCAACAAGCACAAAGACTGTGCCAGTCCCTGACACGGTGGAAAATGGCAATTGTTGGTTTTGCTCTAGGAAATGATTTACTAGGCCTCTGTAGCAAGGGCATTTTTTAATTTTTAAAAAAACAATTAGAACAAATAAATAAAAACATTAAATAAATCAACAACACGGTTAATCCTATGTTGTTCTGTGACAACAACAGAAAGGAAATAGCCAGAATCCAACAAGCACAAAGGCTGTGCCAGTCCCCAACATGGTGGAAAATGGCAATTGTTGGTTCTGCTCTAGGAAATGATTTACTGGACCTCTGTGGCAAAGGCATTTAGTCCTTTCACGTACAAAATGATCCTAAATTTTTGATATTGATGTCTTAGGGCCAGATAGTAAAGGTAAAGGTTTCCCCTTGACATTAAGTCTAGTTGTGTCCAACTCTGGGGGGTGATTCTCATCTCCATTTCTAAGCCGAAGAGCCGGTGTTGTCCATAGACACCTCCTAGGTCATGTGGCCTGCATGACTACATGGAGTGCCATTACCTTCCTGAAGAAGTGGTACCTATTGATCTACTCACATTTGTATGTTTTCAAACTGCTTGGTTAGCAGAAGCTGGGGCTAACAGTGGGAGATCGCCCTGCTCCCCAGATTCGAAGTGCCAATCTTTCTGTTAGTAAGTTCAACAGCTCAGCGATTTAACCCGCTGCACCACCAGAATGATGAGCCCTAAGAGACCTGGACATAGCTGTCCTCATATCTTTCTTCTGTTGGCAGAAGCAGGGGGGGGAGGGCAATGCGCCTAAGAGATTAAACCAGAACATGCGCTTGCTTTTAGTCTACTTTTCCTGATTGCAGCAGAACCTACAACTCAATGTGGTTTAGTTTTATGTATGGCTGCAACCACAGCCTGACCTTGTAGAACTGAAAAAGCACTTGTGAGATAAATGCCACCTGAGAAAGGACCCCTTTGTGACTTGGAGTGAAGAAAGTCCAGTCTCCATTAAAGAGAAAAGGGCCAGAGACCACTCACTTTGCGTCTTCTTCCTCCTCCTGAATCTTCCTCAGTAAGTGTAGTTCCGTTTCCCAGACCCTGTTGTCCAAAATGGTTTCCTTCACGACCTGCAAGTGCTTGTAGCTGGCAAATAATTTGTTGACGAAGAAAATGTATATCTGGCTCATCCACAAACTGTGCTTGTCCTTCTGTTCGTTTTTGGCACTTTGGAGCTTGTCTGGGCCACAATAAAAAAAAAACGCGTGATGACAAGTTTTGATGGTAAAGAAAGCACAAGTTTTTGCATTGCCAAAGGTTCTCACCCAGACCCTGACTCCTTTAACACAATGATTTCTAGCAGAGACACAGCTGCTGTCAGTCAAAAGAAACGCAATTGCACAAGATGGACAAATAGTACGACCTTGTGTAATATAACTATCGTTTATAGTCAAAGGCTTACAATCCACTGCAAATCTGAAATAGTTTGTTGTAAGTTTTTTTTTAGGCTGTATGGTCATGTTCCAGAAGCATTCTCTCCTGACGTTTCACCTGCATCTGTGGCAGGCATCCTTAGGTTGTGAGGTTGCAACCTCTGAGGATGCCTGCTCACAACCTCTGAGGATGCCTGCCATAGATGGAGGCGAAACGTCAGGAGAGAATGCTTCTGGAACATACTCATACAGCCAGGAAAACTTACAACAACCCAGTGATTCCGACCATGAAAGCCTTTGACGATACAAATCTGAAATGATTGGGCAATGTTAGACTCCAGCCCAAGCTTCCATATTTCCACTTCATGTTTTTATTTCCTGTCCTTCTACTGCCCTCATGCGGCAGCTACAGGATTTCACACTGGGTTCCACACATCTCAGAATGTGCAGGTGCTTAGTTCAAATACACAAGGAACAGAAGTGTGTTAGTGCTGCCAGTCCTCTTTTCTCATTCATTTCTGTCACGCTCTATACTTAGAGAACAACCTTTTGAACAGAGAGCCTCCTCTAACAGTTTTTTTTAGCTGCCCTCCAAAGCTCTCCCACTTCATAAAAATGTCCTGTATAGAAGCACCAGGAGAGTTTCTCAGTGTTACAGAACTTAAATCCGGTGGCCATTTAAACTGGTTCTGGGAATTGTAGCACACTGCCTGTGGAGGACAGAACCACATCTGTAGGTGGGATGGAAAGCCTTTGGCCAGTTTTCAGGTGAAACGTCAGCTAAAGGAATTGCATTTTTGTTGCAGGGGCCTCTGGGGTGCTTCTGGATTTGCACTTTGGGGTCCCATAGGGCACCTAGTCATCCGTGCTTTACCTGAAGGTCAGTGGTTCAAATCCGTGAGATGGGGTGAGTTCCCATCTGTCAGCTCTAGCAGGGGCATGAGAGAAGCCTCCCACAGGATGGTAACATATCCAGGCATCCCCTGGGCAACGTCTCTGCAGACAGCCAATTCTCTCATAGAAGAAGCAACTTGCAGTTTGTCAAGTTGCTTCTGACACGATAAAACAAAGCCCTGCTGTCTCAAAAGACCTCATTGTCTCACCTGCCAATTCTTTCATTGGAACACTAAGAAGCACCTCCTGCTCCACTCCTGAGGTTGTCAGCGCTGGTGTTTCCTCTTCACCTTTGTCTTCCTCAGCAGCAGTGAAGGTGACACTCGTCATTGCGGGCGCTGGAAGGGGGAGAGAAGGCCAAATGGTCAACCTATGGCTCCACTGGAGTCCAGGCCCAGCAATGGAGGACGGACCCTGCAGCGTCTCAAGAAGGATGTACAATGGCAGAGCAGACAGTTCAGTGTTCACACTGGTCAAGTCCTGTTGGAATCACAGAATCGTAGAGTTGGAAGAGACCTCAGGGACCGTCCAATCCAACCCCATTCTGCCAGGCAGGAAAAGCACAATCAAAGCAGCCTGGACAGATGGCCTTATAGCCTCTGTTTAAAAGCCTCCAAAGAAGGAGTTTCCGCCAGACTCTGAGGCAGAGAGTTCCACTGTTGAACAGCTCTTACGGTCAGGAAGTTATTAATGTTCAGGTAGAATACCCTTTCCTGTAATTGGCACCCAATGCTCCACTGAGTCCTAGTCTCTAGGGCAGCAGAAAGCAAATCTGCTCCCTCTTCCTTATGACACTCTATTTATGGCACTAGATTCCAAGGCAGACAGTTCCACTGTTGAACAGCTCTTCCAGTCAGGAAGTTCTTAATGTTCAGATAGAATCACCTGTCCTGTAATTGGCACTCAAGGTGTTTTAATATATATGTGTTATTGTGATAATTTTTTGCTTATGTTGTGTTGTTAATTTATGTCATGCTGTTTACTCTGTATGTTTTGGTGATGTTACTTTGAAACCACCCTGAGCCCCCCCCCAGGGAGATAGAGCGGTATATAAATAAATTATTATTATTATTATTATTATTATTATTATTATTATTATTATGATCCACTGAGTCCTAGTCTCCAGGGCAGCGGAAAGCAAGCCTGCTCCCTCTTCCTTATGACACCTTCTTTATGGCATCCCACAAGTCCCACCCTTTCCAGGATGAAGAGGAACCATTGGGGAGAAGCATCCTTTGGGTTCGGTCATTTAACCAATGACAGATCCACCTAAGAGTAGCATTGCCTAGCCCACATTTGTCTAGTTTGCTTGGGAAAAGGTCATTGGAAACTTTGTCAAAGGCCTTACTGAAATTAAGATATGTTACATTCATAGCATTCCCTCCATCTACCAAGCTTGTAACCATATCGAAAAAACAGGTAAGATTAACCTGGCAAGATGTGTTTTTGAGAAATTCATGCTGACTTTTAGCGATCACAACATTCCTTTCTAAGTGACTGCAGACTGCCTCCTTCATGATCTGCTCCAGAATCATTCCTGGGATTGATGTCAGGCTGACGGGACAGTAATTGCTAGGCTCCTCTTTCTTCCCCTTCTTGAAGATAGGGACAACTTTCACCCTCCTCTAATCTATTGGGATTTCTCCAAGCATTCTCAAAGGTTATTGCTAGTGGCTCTGAAATGACTTCTGTGGTTTGTCCTGATTAGAGCAAAGCCTCAATTGGAATGGCCATTCAATAATTGACCGAATGGCTCTATTAGGGTTAAGCAGCAAAATTCCATCCCTGTTGTTTTTCCAAAGAGCCGGGTGAGACCTTGAACACCAGAAGGTATGTGTTATATAGGCCAGAAGCCATATAGGACTTACATGGGGGAGAACGGGTCCTTTCTTTGCTGGATGATTTTGAGCCATGTCGAGACGCTTTCTCTTCCTTTTTGCCCTCCTTGGTTTTCCCCTTCTGTGCAAATCAGAAAAGGCCAATCACACAAAGATCACACAAAAACTTGGGGTATTTCAATATTAATAATAATAATAATAATAATAATAATAATAATAATAATAATCTTTATATAATAAAGTAGAGAAGGGTGACTCAAATCATCCACGGTCTGGAGAACAAGCCGTATGAGGAGCGGCTTAAGGAGTTGGGCATGTTTAGCCTGAAGAAGAGAAAGCTGAGAGGAGACATGATGAGGGCCATGGATAAATATGTGAGGGGAAGTCATAGGAGGGAGCAAGCTTGTTTTTGGCTGCCCTGGAGACTAGGATGCAGAACAATGGCTTCAAACTACAGGAAACAAAGGAGATTCCACCTGAACATTAGGAAGAACTTTCTGACTGTGAGAGCTGTTCAGCAGTGGAACTCTCTGCCCAGGCTTTTAAACAGAGACTGGATGGCCATCTGTCAGGAGTGCTTTGAATGAGATTTTCCTGCTTCTTGGCAGAATGAGGTTGGACTGGATGGCCCATGAGGTCTCTTCCAACTCTAGGATTCTATGAATCTATATTCTGCTTTATCTCTCCAGAAGGACTCAAAGCAGATTACAGTTTACATATATAAGGCAAACATTCAATGCCTTTTTAAACACAGTAAACAACGACATACAATACACAGACAGAGGTAAAGGCCTTCCCCTTTCCATCTCCGGTGTCTGGAGGCAATGCTCAACTCCGGCCACTGGGAGGTGCTCTTGTTCCATTTTTTCATGCCAAGGACATGTCAAAGTAAATACATACCCCTGGGGGTCAGGACCCCTGGGGGTCGCGAGGGGGTGTCAGAGGGGTCGCCAGAGGCCATCAGAAAACAGTATTTTCTGTTGGACATGGGGTTCTGTGTGAGAAGTTTGACCCAATTCTATCGTTGGTGGGGTTCAGAATGCTCTTTGATTGTAGGTGAACTATAAATCCCAGCAACTACAGCTCCCAAATGTCAAGGTCTATTTCCCCCAAACAACACCAGTGTTTACATTGGGGCATATTGAGTATTTGTGCCAAGTTTGGTCCAGATCCGTCATTGTTTGAGTCCACAGTCTCTGGATGTAGGTGAACATTGTTCACGCCCAGTGTTTATTTTATTTTTAAAAATTTAATCTATTACATCTGGCCCAGCCATAAGGTTTTAAATGTTGTGTGTTATTGCTTATATGTGAGTTATATTAATTGTGTTGTTTTATTTGCTTGCTGCTTTGTTGTTTACTGGTGTGTTGTTGGACTTGGCCTCTTGTAAGCCGCCCCATATCCCCTTGGGGAGATGGTGGCAGGGTATAAATAAAGTTTTTATTGTGTCTTGATGTACTGTTTATTGCATGTCGTCAATATTGCTTTACTGTTTTTAATTTTGCTTTTGGTGTTATATTGTTGTGTTGTGTTTTGAGGCCTTGGCATTTGTAAGCCGCATCGAGTCCTTCGGGAGATGCTAGCGGGGTACAAATAAAGTTAATAATAATAATAATAATAATAATAATAAAGTTACTATTATTATTATTATTATTATTAACTACAACTCCCAAACTCAAGGTCAATGACCTCCAGTATTTTCTGTTGGTCGTTGGAGTTCTGTGTACCAAGTTTGGTTCACTTACATTATTGGTGGAGTTCAGAATGCTCTTTGATTGTAGGTGAACTATGAATCCCAGCAACTACAACTCCCAAAGGACAAAATCAACCCCAACCCCACCATATTCAAATTTAAGCATATCGTGTATTTGTGCCAAATGTGGTCCAGTGAATGAAAATACATCCTGCATATTAGACATTTCCATTACAATTCATAACAGGAGCAAAATTACAGTTATGAAGTAGCAACGAAAATAATTTTATGGTTGGGGGTCACCACAACATGGGGAACTATATGAAGGGGTCGTGGCATTAGGAAGGTTGAGAACTACTGCCCTAGAAGGAAACAACAAGAAGACCCAGTGTTCTATCCTATGTTTGGAGGTATCATTCGTAAGCAGCCCATAATTGTATTTAAAGAAATATATTTACATCCGAGCTCATGAAGTTAAGCCAAGTGATAACTCAGTCTCTGCCTCAGCCGTACATTGAAACCCCGCCCGGCAAACCCATTGCACCAACCTCGGACTTCTTTGTCTTGCTGACTTCAACAAAGTGCACAATCTTGCTAGCAGACGACTTGGAGCTCAGGCGGCGAGTGGCGTCGGTCGTCTCGTTGCTCGCTTCCCCGCTGCTTGTGCTTCTGGTCTGAGCAGACTGACAAACATACACAAACACAGGTCAGTTTGGTTACAACGAGTAGGAGATCTTTATTTTGCCTTGTAGTACGACCCCTACACAAGAAGTCCCCGAGTTACAAACAACTACTTGCAAATGACTCGTAGTGAAGAACGGGGCTGAGATAACAGGAAGTGAGAACAATCTATAGCATGTATAGGTGAATTTGGACCTTCTAGGTGTTTTGGACTCCAACTCCCACCATTCCTGACATCAGCCCTTTCCTTTTCCCCCTCAGCCGCTTAAGTGGCTGAGGGGGAAAAGGAAGGGGCCTGAGGCTGTCAGGAATGGTGGGAGTTGGAGTCCAAAACACCTAGAAGGTCCCAATTTTGGTCTAAAGTGAGAATTTCACCAAATCAGCAACCTGGGATACAATTTTCCGTACAATTTTTCGCATTGCCCTTGAAGCCCTTCTGGTGACGCATCTCCATCAACAGCAGACGGGAGTGGAATTGTTTTGCTAATATAAATGCTTATTTATATTTTTTCTTGCATCTTATTTTTATATTTTATTGTTGTTATATGTTGTTTCTTTGCATTGGTTGTAATTGTTGGGCTTGGCCTCATGTTAGCCGCCCTGAGTCCCCTTGTGGAGATGGGGGCAAGATATAAATAAAGTTTTATTATTATTATTATTATTATTATTATTTGCTTCGCGCTTTGCCTGAAAAGCTTTCCCGTCGCTCGGCCTCCTGCACAGCTCAAGAGGGTGGCGAAAGGGTTACGCTTTACGAGAGCGGCAGTGGGCAGGATTATGCAAATTTCACACCAAGGGGAAGACGGGAATTGTTTTGAAATTTCCACAGTGGACAAAACTCGTAAAATCTAGGATTAATTGTTTCTATATGAATGTGTCCACTTGGGTGTTGGGAAGTATTGGGTTTGTGGAGCACATTGGAAAGGGTTGCCGAGCAGAAAGTGTAAATACACTTCCAGATGCTTGCACGTCTTCACAGCGCTCACCATAACCTGAAATATCCTTGGAAGGAGGGACTTGGTCGGATTGGGAAGGCGTGGGTATCGCTTCTCGGCCTTTTGGCTAAGATCAAGTGTAGTATCTGTTCTTATCAGTTTAATATCTGATACGTCCTCTATTTGAGGACTATATATTAAATGGATTTTTGGGCCTGGGAGATGGAATAGGGGCTTGCTCCATCCACTCCACGCATCGACCTGGTATTGCAGTGCCTCCAGGAACGGTGCACCTCCCTCTGGGGGGAGATCACACTGGTGCAAAGATAGATGAGAGTTGTAGTTTGGGTGCTTAGTAAACATTGCCTTGCTTCTAATGTAATGCAGTGTTTCCCCATTCCATTATTCTTTTCACTGGGTATCTCTCCTTTCAGTGTACATTAGCTAATGGTACCCTTTTTTTGTGGTGCTACCTATTAGGAACTAGTGTTCACAGCACTCTTGGCATGTGGGCAAACTACAACTCCCAAAATCCAGAGACAACCCCCCCCCCTTTTTTTTTTGTTGTGTCAGGAGCAACTTGAGAAACTGTGTGAGAGAATTGGCCGTGACACCCAGATGATTTGTTGTTTTTATCATCCTTGTGGGAGGCTTCTCTCATGTCCCCGCATGAGGAGCTGGAGTTGATAGAGGGAGCTCATCCGCCTCTCCCCGGATTTGAACCTGCGACCTACCGGTCTGGGCTCCAGCCAATCCCTTCCCCCAGACCCATCCAGTGTTTTCTGTTCCTCATGGAGGGATCTGTGTCCCATCACAGGGCTCTCTGAAAGTGGGAACTATTGTGGAAATTGGGTTGCTGTGAGTTTTCTGGGCTGTATGACAGCCAAGAAATATTTTCTAACGATTTGAGCCTTGAAAGAGAAAAAGCAGGATGCAAAATAGTAGTAGTACTAGTAATAATATTAAATAGGGACAGACAACAAATATTGTCTAGTCATTTGAATTTCTTTCTTGGAGAGAAAAAGCAGGATAGAAATAGGAGGAGGAGGAGGAGGAGGAGGAGGAGGAGGAGGAAGAATCATAGAATCAATGAGTTGGAAGAGACCTCATGGGCCATCCAGTCCAACCCTCTACCAAGAAACAGGAATATTGCATTCAAATCACCCCTGACAGATGGCCATCCAGCCTCTGCTTTAAAGCTTAGAAGAAGAAGAAGAAGAAGAAGAAGAAGAAGAAGAAGAAGGAAAAGTAGTTGTAACAGAAGAAGAGGGGCCTTGAGTCCCTACAAGGAGAAAACTAGGATAAAAATAAAGATAAGAGGAGGACAAGGACGAGGAGAAGTAGTAGTAGTAGAAGAAGAAGAGGGGCCTTGAGTCCCTATGAGAAGAAAAGTGGAATAATAAAGAGGAGGAGGAGGAGGAGAAGTAGTAGTAGTAGTAGTAGTAGTAGTAGAAGAAGAGGGACCTTGAGTCCCTATGGGAAGAAAAGTGGAATAATAAAGAGCAGGAGGAGGAGGATAGGGCATGAGTCTCATTTTGGAGAGAAAAAGCAGGATATAAAGTAATAGTATTAGTAATAATAATAATAGTTTAATTTATTGATGTTCAGCTTAATTTACTGATGTTAGGTATTACTTTGATGTTAGATTTTAATGTTATTTTCATATGCGGGGTTTCTCTGGGATTTTATGTCAGAATTTGTTTGTTTTGCAAAGGCATTTAATGTTGGCTGTTGTTATATTGAATCCGCCCTGAGTCCACCCTCGGGGAGATAGGGTAGAATACAAATAAAGTTTTATTATTATTTATTATGGGTTGTTGTAGGTTTTTTTGGGCTATATGGCCATGTTCTAGAGGCATTTTCTCCTGATGTTTCGCCTGCATCTATGGCAAGCCTCTTGAGAGGTAGTGAGGTCTATTGGAACTAGAAAAGTGGGTTTATATATCTGTGGAATGAATATTGATAATATTATTTAGAATAAAAATTAACATGTCAAACTACTCTGAGACTTCCGAATTCAGACTGAGTTTCAGAGCACAATACTCCTGACCTCACGACTGTGGACAGAAACATAGTATGGATCGTCAATGTTGCAATCCACACGAGATGAGGAGTTAAAAATCGAACTGCAAAGATTCTAGTACAAGCCAGTCAAGGTGGTCCCAGTGGTGATCGGCACACTGGGTGCAGTGCCTAAAGACCTTGGCCTGCACTTAAAAACAATCGGCGCTGACATCACATAGTCCTAGACGCTTGGGAAGTGCCCGACGTGTGATCAAATACAAAAGCCAGCATAGCGATTTTGTTTGCTGTATACTAATCTTGTTGTGCATCAAATAATAATAATAATAATAATAATAATAATAATAATAATAATAACAAAATAGCAATTCGTGCCCTCCACTCCTTTCTCACATAAGCCCGCAGCTGCACCCAGAGACCTGTCTGGAGGGTACCTGTCCGGAGGAGTGGTCCTGGGGGAGCGGGGAGAGCCGGGCCCCGTCCACAAAGTCCTCCGTCCTGTAGGAGCTGCCTGACTGGCTGGCCTCCTCCGCCTGGCGCTTCAGCATCTCGTCCGTGACGAAGAGCAGAGCGCAGTCCAGCAGGGCTTCAAAAAACTCAAGGAACACCATCTGGAAGAGAAGCCAAAGCAGCCAAAGGGGGAGAGGAAAAGCACCACTGAGTCTCCAAAGGGATTACGAGACTTGGGCCAAGTATGGGCAAACTTGGGCTCTCCAGGTGTTTTGGACTTCAACTCCCACCATTCCTAACAGCCTCGGCCCTTTCCTTTTCCCCCTCAGCCGCTTAAGCGGCTGAGGGGAAAAGGAAAGGGCCCGAGGCTGTTAGGAGTGGTGGGAGTTGAAGTCCAAAACACCTGGAGAGCCCAAGTTTGCCCATACCTAGGCTATAAGGTTACCACGCCTAGCAACCCAAACAACACTGCCGCAAAATGTAATTGCTGAAATACCAAAGTCAAAACATTATCCGAATGTAAGCTATTCAGCCAGAAATGGAAAAGAATAGCACAGGATCATATATTTTAACAAATGGTAGATTTGCGTGAAGCCCAAAGGAATGGATCAATGACAAATCGGATACAGGAATCAAGGTTATAATGCTATCATTCCACTTTAACCGCCATGGCAACATTATATGGAATTCTGAGATTTGCATTTCACTAAAGGAACAATATTTATTATTTGAAACACAACAAGATGAGTCCACAACAAACAAGATCATTCTGCTGGCTGTTGTATTGGATCACAAGTCGGACACTTCCCAAGGACTGTGTGATGTATCGGTGAATAATGCATGTGGATCCCAGTATGGTGGCCTTTTGCAGCTGGCAGATGGTAATCTTGTTAGCGCCAATTGTGTTTAAGTGCAGGCCAAGGTCTTTAGGCACTGCACCCAGTGTGCCGATCTACTAATTCTCCGAGCAGCCTCTTTGTCGTTATTTGTCGTCTTTTCCTTTTTTTATTATTATATTATTACTGCAAAGGCTTTGCAGAGCCTTTGCAGTTCGATCTTTAAATCCTCATATCATGTCAGCTTTTCCAGTTGTTTCTCTTCAATCCTGCTGTTGCCTGGGATTGCAACATCGATGATCCACATTCTCTTTATTATTCTTCTTTATTTTTATTATATTATTTTATATTATTTATTATTTTATTTTTATTCTTTATTTTTATTATATTATTTATTATTATTTTTATTCTATATTTTTATTCTTTATTTTTATTATATTATTTATTATTATTTTTATTCTATATTTTTATTCTTTATTTTTATTATATTATTTTATATTATTTATTATTTTATTATTCTTTATTTTTATTGTATTATTTTATATTATTTATTATTTATTATTTTATATTATTATTCTTTATTTTTATTATATTATTTTTATATTATTTATTATTTTATTATTTTATATTATTTGTTTTTATTATATTATTTTAATATTATTTATTATTTAATTTATATTGATTATGTATTTTTATTATATATTTATTATTATTATTATTATTATTATTATTATTATTATTATTATTATTATTATTATTATTATAACAACTCGGGGCAGCTTACACATGGCACAATGTGTCTAAAACAACACATAACATAAACACAAAATACATGGCAGCTAAAGCAGAATATAGCATTATTAACACTATAGTGCAGTAGGGCAGTGAAGTTCCCTCCAAGTGAAGTCCAGGCTCCTACAGCAAACAGACTCTTTCCATTGCAGTTGTACAAATGGATTTCTGAAATACACACACACACCTCATGCTCCAAATTTGTGTCCTCCCCATTGCGGACAATTGGGCTCTCTTTGGCCAGAATGTTCACAACTTTGGTGGCTGTGAGTTGCTTACTGATGAGCCTTAAATCCTACAAATGGAAAGAAGAAGTTAGTTATTCCCTTTCTACACCCAGGAAGGAGCAGGAGAGATGTTTAGGCAGGTGGGGCATTTGCCATCTAAACCCATCCAACATCTTTCCCCAATAAGCAAAGAGCATGAAATGTACTCAGAAAGGCAGAGGCAGCAAACAATTGGTTCCAATTCTGCCCAGCCCTTGGCTTTACTTCTGGCTACTCCATCCTCTTCCTACTGTTGTCAGATCAGGACTACCGCAGGCCCTGTGTTACTGCCCCAACCTTATTCTCCATTTTCATCGCTATTTTACTACACTTTGTTGATAGGAAGCTTCCCACAGGATTGGAAATCATTTAGTAACAGACAGATTGCAAGCTATTTAACCTCAGCGGACTGAAAGTCAAAACCAAGGTTACAACAACATCTATTATAGAACTCCAATATGCCGATGATAACATAGTCTGTGCTCATTCAGAAGAAGACCTACAAGCCACTCTAAATACCTTTTGCAGAAGCAAACGAGAAGCTTGGCCTCTCATTGAACATAGAGAAAAACAAAGTGCTTGTCTAGAAAGCACCAGGCTATTTATTTATTTATTTATTTACAGTATTAGAGGACTCAGGGCGGATTACAATGTACATATACATGGCAAACATTCAATGCCTTAGACACACAACACATATAAACAGACAGACAGAGGCTATTTAACATTCCAACTTTTTCTGGCCACCAGGGGAGCTGTTGCTTCACCGTCCATCTGCAACATCAATGAAGTACTTCCTCATTCCCCGCATACTTGCTGGAGATGTTTATGGCCTCGTAAATTAGTTACCGTATATACTCGAGTATAAGCCGACCCGAATATAAGCCGAGGCACCTAATTTTACCACAAGAAACTTGGAAAATGTATTGACTCGAGTATAAGCCGAGGGTGAAAAATGCAGCTGCTACTGAAAATCATCAGTAGGTTAAATGTTTTTGTGTATTTACATAAAACTGTAATTTAAGATAAGACTATCCAACTCTGATGAAACCATTATTCTAATCTTCTTCAATGTCAATGTGCTTTCGTATCCTTCCAATAATAATAGAGTAAAATAATAAATGTAATAATAATAATAATAATAATAATAATAGAATAAGTGAAATTTAATAACAGTAATAAGAGTAAAATAATAAATGTAATATTAATACATAAAATAATAGTAATAAAATAATAGTACAGTAAAATAATATAAAGGTAATAATAATAATAAATAGAGTAAAATAATAAATGTAATAAAAATAATACTAATAACAGAGTAAAATAATAAATAACGTTGACTTGAGTATAAGCCTAGGAAAACTTTTTAAGCCTAAAAAAGGGGCTGAAAAACTAGGCTTATACTCGAGTATATACACTAAATTAGCCTCCCCACAAAGTGGTACCTAAATTTCCTACTTGACAAATGGAACTGTCTTTCGGGCTGCAAAGGTCGACAACAAGCTACACAAATTTGGTCGGAAGCTCACTCCGACCCGGGCTGGCTTTGAACTCATGACCTTTTGGTCAGCAGTGATCTTAATGCAACTGACACCCAACCAGCTGCACCAAAGTCCCTGTGCCAATCCTTCTGCAAAGCCAGAAATACAGCTTAATGGTGTAATGTTAGACAATGTTGACCATTCCCGCTCCCTTGGCAGCCACTTCTTCACAAAAGACAGCATTGACACTGAAATACAACACTGTCTGAGCTCTGCGAGTGCAGCCTTTTCCCAAATGAAGCAGCGAGTGTTTGAGGATTGATTATATACTATACAGTAGTGGCCATCGCAAACCAGAAAAGCAGACAACACTCTCTGAAGAATCAAAGTGACACACTGACTCACACACAGGGCCACAAAAAATAAGAGCTGTAAAGTCCCTGGCTCCCACACCCTGTCTGGAGATTGCAACTATCTCCCACGAGAGGTCCTGGACCACTTGTACAGCAGGGACGGTGTTGCAGCTTCTGGCCACCAGGGGGAGCATGCATCCAAACAAAAACTTTGCTAGGTCTTACTTTCAGGGGAGGCCTTAATAAAATAATAATAAACTTTTATTTATACCCCGCTCCATCTCCCCCAAGGGGACTCGGTGCGGCTTACATGAGGCCACACCCAACAATACAATAAACACAATATAACACAAAAGCATAGCAAAAATCAATAAAATAAAATACATAAGATGCAAAACCAATATATATAAGCGACACAGCGATAAAAACAGACATTAGAATCATAGAATCATAGAATCAAAGAGTTGGAAGAGACCTCATGGGCCATCCAGTCCAACCCCCTGCCAAGAAGCAGAAATACTGCATTCAAATCACTCCCAACAGATGGCCATCCAGCCTCTGTTTAATAGCTTCCAAAGAAGGAGCCTCCACCACACTCCGGGGCAGAGAGTTCCACTGCTGAACGGCTCTCACAGTCAGGAAGTTCTTCCTCATGTTCAGATGGAATCTCCTGTCTTGTAGTTTGAAGCCACACTGGGAGATAGGACAATGTAAAATATCCTAGTCTCCAGGGAAGCAGAAAACAAGCTTGCTCTCTTCTCCCTGTGGCTTCCTCTCACATATTTATACATGGCTATCATATCTCCTCTCAGCCTTCTCTTCTTCAGGCTAAACATGCCCAGGTTCCTTAAGCTGCTCCTCATAGGGCTTGTTCTCCAGACCCTTGGTCATTTTAGTCGCCTTCCTCTGGACACATTCCAGCACATTAAAGCACAAATGGTCACACTGGGCAGGGCCAATTCAAAGATAAAATTTTAAAACACTAGGAGATAGGACTATGTAACATAAAAGGGAGGGGATCTAGGGATGAGGTAGGATTTAATTGCACGAACCATAAAATAAAGTGCTTCTGAGGTCATTTCGTGCAAAGTTTGGTCAGGGAGTTTTCAGGTTCTTCCTGAAGATTGCCAGCGTGGGGGCTTGCCTAATGTCTCTGGGGAGTGAATTCCAGAGCCGGGGGGCCACCACAGAGAAGGCCCTCTCTCTCGTCCCCACAAGTCACACTTGCGATGCAGGTGGGAGTGAGAGAAGGGCCTCTCCGGGAGATCGAAGAGGTTGTGTGGGTTCGTAGATAGAAATGCAATCGCGCCGGTAGGCGGGTCCTAAACCGTTCAGGGCTCTGTAGGTCAAAACCTGCAACTTGAATTGGGCCTGGAAAATAAACGGCAGCCAGTGGAGCCTTATATTTAGCAATTCAGCAAAACCTCTACTAGGCCTTATTTTCAGAGGATGTCTTATTTTCAGAGAAACGGGGTAATAAATAAAATTGCCTTTCCCAACTCAGAACAAACAAGTCTGTGGCGAACCAGACCCACGGATCAATGAAGGGGGAAGGGAGAAAAAGAGAAAAAAAATATCCAAAAAGAATCAAAGAGTTATCTTAAACAACAAAAAATAGAGGTCATTTCTTGATATGTAACAAGTCAGAAGATAAATAACTGTGTCACAGAAATGCAGTCTGAAATATTGAGAATGAAAGCCGGCTTTTGTTTCACCCGGCTCTCACTATCTCTTTTTTAACTCTACACCTTGTTTTTTTCTAAACAAATATAGAAGATCTTCAAAGAACAGATGGAAGTCCACCCATATTTTTATTTTTATTTTTACTTTTACTATTATTCTGACTTTTGATTTTTTTTTTGGGGGGGGGGGGTTGGATTTTTTTTTCTTTTTGATTGGACTCTTTGATTCTTTTTGGATATATTTTTTTTCTCTCTTTCTCCCTTCCCCCTTCACTGACCATTTCTTGCTTATTATTATTTCCTACTTTTCTATCTCCTCCACAATTATTCCCCCACTTTCCATGTATTCACATTATATTGCAATAAAAATTATTTTAAAAAAAAACCTGCACCTTGAATTGGGCCCGGAAAATAAACGGCAGCCAGTGGAGCCTTATATTTAGCAATTCAGCAAAACCTCTACTAGGTCTTATTTTCAGGGGATGTCTTATTTTCAGAGAAATGGGGTAATAAATAAAATTGCCTTTCCCAACTCGGAACAAACAAGTCTGTGGCGAACCAGACCCACGGATCAACCCGGGAAGCTGATTCTTACTTTCAGCATCCAGAGAAACTGCCTCATCTTCATGGTAGGTTCATGCGGAGGGAGGGGACTCGGTCGGCAGAAATCCCGGTATATCTCCCAACACTTGTCGATGTAATTGATGGCGTAGACAGCTTGCTGCCGCTCACCAAACAAGACTCCTGTGGATGTAACAGCATTTGGCTGTTGTTTTGTTGCAAATCATAGCATCCTAGAGTTGGAAGAGACGTCAAGGCCCATCCAGTCCAGGAAAAACACAATGAGAGCACTCCTGAGAGATGGCCATCCAAAGAAGGCAGGTTACCTTTGATCTGGCAGGCATTGGGAGCGATGTTCTCCGCCATCAGTTTGGAGAAGCACTTGAAGAGGCGGGGAGTTGTGTCGCTAGGTGCGAGAGAGGAGGAGAAGACAGCAGTTTCACACATTTGGAAGAACTAGTGCCGAACTATTTGCTATAACTGATTGGAAAATATTTCTGGGAAAACACCAACTAATCAGGAAGCAAATAAACAAAGATTGGGCTTCTTTCCTGGATGTTCAGGAAGGCCTCTTCTGAGAGGGCATCTATATCATGTATGGGCCAACTTGGGCCCTTCAGGTGTTGTGGACTCCGACTCCCACCATTCCTAACAGCCTCAGGCCCCTTCCTTTTCCCCCTCAGCCGCTTAAGCGGCTGAGGGGGAAAAGGAAGGGGCCTGAGGCTGTTAGGAATGGCGGGAGTCGGAGTCCAAAACACCAGGAGGGCCCAAGTTGGCCTAGGCCTGGTCTATAGTCATCCACTTCCCTGGGAATAAGGCCATTTGGCTTAGAAACAATGGGATTTGTTTTTATGTAGACTGAGCTGGGGCCAACACAGGAAAGGCCACTTACTCGAACTCCTTCTGGTAGATGTGGAAGGCCAAATAAATCAGATACGTCAAAAACATCCGCAGGAGTAAGGTCTCGTACGGGGAATGGATCTCTTCCGGCAGTGTTTTGTCTACAAAAGAAAACACGAAACCCATCCAACAAAAGGAGGTATTGTCAGAATCGGTTTATCTGCAGGAGATAAAAGTATCCTTATATTCCTTATATTGGACTCCTGGCCACTTGGATTAAATGGATTGTCTGCTCTGTAGATTTGATGCCATTTGATACCACTTTAACTGCCATGGACTCCTGGGAGTTATAGCTTTGCAAGGTCAGCAGACCCCTCTGTGAATGACTGGTGCTTGCATGTTGTATATATCTATATAGCTATATAAATAAAAATGTAATGTTTGTTTGTGGAATTAACAGAACTCAAAAACCACTGGACGAATTGACACCAAATTTGGACGTGGAAATATGTTTGCATGTCTGTCATTCTGTTTGTATGTGGGTGAGTGAGTGGATGTGTATGTATGTTTCTGGGCAATTTCCAAGATGGTTCCCTCTTCAAGAGAGCCCTGTGACTCCCACCAATGGCAGAACACAGATCCCCCCCACCCCTTGACCTACAGGAAATACTGGGTTTTCTGCAAGGGAGTGGCCCAGGATTTTGGGAACTCTAGTTCGCCTACAAAGGAGCCCCCAGTGGCGCAGTGGATTAAAGCACTGAGCTGCTGAGCTTGTTGATCGAAAGGTCGCAGGTTCGATTCCAGGGAGCGGCGTGAGCTACCGCTGTCAGCCCTAGCTTCTGCCAACCTAGCAGTTTGAAAACATGCAAATGTGAGTAGATCAATAGGTTCCGCTCCGGCGGGAAGCTAACGGCGCTCCATGCAGTCATGCTGGCCACATGACCTTGGAGGTGTCTATGGACAACGCTGGCTCTTCGGCTTAGAAATGGAGATGAGCACCACACCCCAGAGTCAGACATGACTGGACTTAATGTCAGGGGACTACCTTTACCTTTACCTATTGTATTATTGTATTTGTATTATTGATATTGATGTTGTTGTTTGATGTTTTTGATATTGCTAGTTGATGTTAGTTTTTGATGTAAATTGCACCTTATTTTATATGTTGTACACCGCTGTGAGTCGCCCCAGGGCTGAGAACGGCGGTCTATAAGCGCAGTAAATAAATAAAAAATAAATAAATACAACTACAGGGCACGGTGAAATCATAAGACGCCAAATGTCCTCAGTTCCTTATAAACAGCACTACAATACTTACACAGGCCTCAAGACACAATTAGGCGAATACAGACATTCACTTCTCCAGGGAAATGAAAAATGGAATAGAAACTTAGAAGAAAGGAATTGCTAACTATGCAGCAGAACAACCACTCTCATCTGTTTTTGCACCATGCTTATTCCCCCCAGAGGGAGGTGCACCGTTCCTGGAGGCACTGCAATACCAGGTCGATGCGTGGAGTGGATGGAGCAAGCCCCTATTCCATCTCCCAGGCCCAAAAATCCATTTAATATATAGTCCTCAAATAGAGGACGTATCAGATATTAAACTGATAAGAACAGATACTACACTTGATCTTAGCCAAAAGGCCGAGAAGCGATACCCGTACCTTCCCAATCCGACCAAGTCCCTATTTCCAAGGATAGTTCAGGTTATGGTGAGCGCCGTGAATACGCACAAGCATCTGGAAGCATATTTACACTGTCTGCCCCGCAAACCTTTCCAACGTGCTCCACAAACCGAATCCTTTCCAACACCCAAGTAGACACATTCATATAAAAACAATTTAATCCTAGATTTTATGTGTTTTGTCCACTGTGGAAATTTCAACGTTTTTCCCGTCTCCCCCTTGGTGTGTAATTTGCATGATCCCGCCCACTTCCTTTCCCGTGAAGCCCTGCGCTGCTTGCGTTCATTCCTTACAGGGAGGCTTCCTTAGCAACCACCGGCAGAACTGCTCTGCCTTAGCTCCGCCTGCTTTCTGAGCCCGGGCGGTAACCATGGCAACCCCGAAGATTCCAAGACAAAAAGCATGCTTTTCTGATCCGGAAGAAGCCCTTGACGCTCCATTGGGACTCTTGCAAATGCTATGTCTTGCATTGCATGAGAAGTCCTAAAAATTTGAGGGTTTTTTTTTTGCATAACTGACACAAAACCAGTTTCTTCTAAAGTTAGAAGAGATCCCAAGGGAAATAATGTTAGGATCATATGATTTTAATGTTCTATTAGGTGGTTTAATTCTTAATAATAATAACAATAATAATAATAATAATAATATTTGAGCTATGTAATAATAAAATAGTAATAGTAATAATAATAATTATAATAAATAATTATAATATTTGGGCTATGTAAACCTCAATACACAGCCCAACAAAATAAGAATAATAATCAAAAATAATTATAATTATAATGATTATGATGACTATTATTATTTTGTTGGGCTGCGTAATGAGGATTGTTGATGTTGTTTGCCTTCAAGTCACTTCTTACTATGCCATTGCACAGAATGGGACTGGATTTTGGTATCGAAGGAGATTCTGGATGCAATAAAATGTCTTTTATTGTATCTTACAATGATTTGTTCCATTGATTTTATATTTTGTTATATGGTGTTGATTGTGATTTGTGTATGTTTGTAAGGCATTGAATTTTGCCACTATTTCTGTGTAAACCGCTTTGAGTCCTCCCAGGGGTGAGAAAAGCTGTATATAAATACTGTGAATAATAAATAAACAATAAATAAATCCATATATTATAATATATTATAATAATATAATAATGTTATATTATTAACAACATAATATATTATATTATTAATAATATAATATATATTACATGGAATATTACTAATAATATTGCAGTATAGTAGCATTGTACACAGTACAATATAATTATATATAATACTAATATTGAGCTATGTTAATATATTAGATATACATATAATATTAATAATATTATAATGTAATAAAATATACTAAGAATAATATAATATAGGTAATTATATAATCATAATATTGTAATATAATCATACTAATATATTAAATATAATGCTAGGACAGGATTAACCCAGGCAGGGGCAAAGGTGGGCCCTCCAGGTGTTTTGGACTCCAAACCCCACCAGTCCTAACAGCCTCAGGCCACTTCCCTTTCCGCTTAAGCGGCTGAGGGGGAAAAGGAAGGGGCTTGAAGCTGTTAGGAATGGTGGGAATTGAAGTCCAAAACACATGGAGGGTCCAAGTTAATAATAATAATAATACATTGTATTTGTAAGCTGCCTCTCCCGATGGCTTGATATATCCATAGTGAGGTATGTCTATAGTAGGCATGGGCAGACATACCTCTCTATGGATATATCAAGCCACCAGGAGAGGCAGGTTACACATACAATGTATTATTATTATTATTATTATTATTATTATTATTATTCACAAAGCTTATTAAGGAGGGATAAATCAGACTGTGTCTTTCTCTGAGGCTGAGACAGTGTGATTTGCCCAAGGTCACCAATAGGGTTTCTCTGTCTGGGTGGAGATTTGAACCCTGGATTATACAACAGTGGAGACTCATATAATCCAGTTCAAAGCCGATAATGTGAATTATCTGTTTGGATAAACTGAATTATATGGCAGTGTAGAAAAAGCTGAGTTTAAAGAACCGCAGGGAGAGGCAGGTGATAAAATAATAATAATAATAATAATAATAATAATAATAATTATTATTATTATTATTATTATTATTATTATTCCCAGGTACACTACAGTGGACCCATGGCATCAGTTGGGACTTGCATCCAGAATCCTCCTCAATTCCAAAATTCATTTTCATTCTATGCAATGGCATAGTAAGAAGTGACTTGAAGGCAAACAACATCAACAAACCTCATTACACAGCCCAACAAAATAATCATTATAATTATAATGATTTTTTATTATGATTATATTGTTGGGCTGTGTAATGAGGTTTATTATATTATATTATAATTATAATTATTATAATTATAATTATTATAATTATTATTATTATTATTATTATTATTATTGGTGCCTTTGTTTTTAGGCCTATTCCTGAGGTTCTTTGGGGCACTGATTCAGAAAACTGCATTGGATAGACTGCATCAGTTCTAGTGTCATAGATAGGGTTATTGTGGTTTTCTATGGGCAAGCAACTGCAATATGGCTTTTGTTCTGTATCTCAAAAACTAGAGCTGATTAGGGGAAACCGATGCAATTTTTGGAATCATTGGGTGAAATATACCCAGAAACAGGGCTGAGATAGGAGGCACCAATGTGTTATTCCTGTCTCAAAGATTTCGATAGGAAGAACGAACCGTTCAGGATCCGATCCATGTCGGCCAGAGTGAGGTTGCAATGGTGGAACCTGCAGTCCTTTAAGAAGCGCCAGAACTGAAGCTTCGTCATCAGGAAGGTGTTGTCGATTGAGCGGTCATACCCCAGGCTGCTGTAAAAGGTGTAGATCCGCCTTAGTTCAGAGATGTGCCTCAGCACTGCAAATTCCGTCTGGAAGGAAAAGAGGGGAAAGTGCCATGAGACTTTTCTCACATTCAGATACCAACCAAGTCTAGTCCTGCTTAGTTTGCAAGAAGAGGCAGGATCTGGGACCTTTTCAGTATTTCAGTATTTGAGTATTACTAGCTTAGGTACCCAACGTTGCCCAAATTATTTGAAAAGGCCCATTTTTCAATGTACAAAATGCATAAGGTCGTGGATGAACTACAATTCACATCATGCAAAGTTAACTCTGAGACACTCCATCACTACTTATGTTGGGCAAGTTTGCTCTAGATGTATCATCACTGGGGTTCAGTATGCTCTCTGACGGTAGGGTAAACTATAACTCCCACTATGGTGATTCAGTCCCCTTAAACTCCTCCAATAGGTTGTGTTACTCATGGAGGATCTGTGCGCCAAGTTTGGTCCATCATCAATGGAGGTCACAGTTTATCTGGTTATGGGTAAACTACAACTCCCAGAAAGGAAGGTCAGTTCCCCCCAAACCCTTCCAGTAATCCAATTTTGGCATATCAGGTATGTGTGCCAAGTGTGGTCCAGATCCATTGGTGTTTGGGTTCACAGTGCTCTCTGGGTATAGGTGAACTACAACTCTCCCAAATCAAGGTGAATTTCCCCCAACACGATCCAATATTCTTTGCCGGGGGCTCTGTGTGCCTAGTTAGATCCAATTTCCTGTTTGGTGGAGTTCAGAGTGCTCATTAATTGCAAATGAACTATAAATTCCAGTACTTACAACTCCAAAATGTCCAGGCCAATTCACCTCAAAACCCACCAATATTCAAATTTGGCCATATCAGGTATGCATGCCAAGTTTGGTCCAGATCCATCCTTGTTTGGGTTCATAGTGCGCTCTGGATGTAGGTGAACTACAACTCCTATAAATCCCTGCAAAAACCTCCAGTATTTTTTGCTGGTCATGGGGGTTCTGTCTGCCAAGTTAGTTCCAGGTCCATCATTGGTGGAGTTTAGAGTGCTCTTAGATTGCAGGTGAACTATACATCCCAATACCTACAACTCTTATAAATCATGGTGAATTCTCCCCAAACCTTTCTAGTATGTTCAGTTGCTGATCAATTCCTCTGTTTGCTGTGTGCCATAGAAAATAATAGGAAAGGGTTAAGGAACAGGGAGTGGGCAGAGTCATGCAAATTTCACACCAATGGAGAGAGCAAGAAATACTGGGATGTTTGTGGTGGAGGAAACACATAAACTCTAGGATGAAATGTTCCCCATTTGAAAGCCTTCACTTGGGTGGTGGGCAGTATGGTTTTTCTGGAGGACATTGACAGGGCTCTTGGATATGTATATGGCACTCATTATAACCTTCAATGTCATTGGAGGGTGGGCCTTTGGTGTCTTCTGAATAGTGGGAGCTATAGCTGTTTATGGAGGCAGGAGCTTGTTTGTGTGAGTGGACACTCCAGCCACCCCTTTATCATATGTAGAGTCCTAGTCTCTGCTGCCCTGGAGACTAGGACGCAAAACAATGGCTTCAAACTACAGGAAAGGAGATTCCACTTGAACATTAGGAAGAACTTCCTAATTGTGAGAGCTGTTCAGGAGTGGAACTCTCTGCCTTGGAGTGTGGTGGAGGCTCCTTCTTTGGAGGCTTTTAAGCAGAAGTTGGATGGCCATCTGTCGGGGGTGCTTTGAATGTGATATTCCTGCTTCTTGGCAGGGGGTTGGATTGGATGGCCCACAAGGTCTCTTCCAATTCTATGATGATTATTATATTATTATTATTTATGCACCCCTTTTTCCTCTCCACGAAGGAGACTCAGAACAATAATTAGGATGGGGGCAGAGAGGAGATCCCCAAATTGGAAAGGATGGACCAAGTTCAAAGTCAGTTTTGAAAACCTTTTTCTTCCTTCAGCACCTTAATTATATTCTCCCTTATCTCTCCCCCCTTTTCACAGGCAGGAAACACTGCGTACCTGCTTGATTTCTTCTTTCCGGTCTTTTTCTGGAAATATAGCCAGCAACGTAGAAATGTCTATCTCAATATTGGTTCCCAAGGTAGAGGCATCACCTGGGCCATCAACCACTTTGATGCTCTCTGCACAGGGATCAAAAGTGGGAGAAATCAACATGGAACACTTCTAACTACTAACAAAGACAAACAAAATACCAGTAAGGTTTATGGAGGTTTTTGCATAAAGCTTGAGGCTGTTAGGAATTTTGGGAGTTGAAGTCTGTTGCACTCCGTAACAGGAAAGCCCTCTGACTTTAAACACCACACAGCTGAGTGGAAATGCAAGCAGTTTATCAAAGATATTTTAAAAGCAGTAGCAGTAAAAAATAAAAAAAAACACTCCATAAAAATAGGTAAATCCAATTAGGAAGAAAGATAAGAACAAATAGTCCAGGAAAATTAGTCCACTGGAGTTCATTAAAAACAAATATTTATTTATTTACCGTATTTATATACCGCCCTCTCAACCTGGAGACAACTTGAGGCGGTTTACAGTCTCTTACAGAAACTTCCAAGGTAAAACTCCAAAATATGAATCATGAATCAAAAAGGCACTTAACACATGAATCTATCCAAGGCAAGGCTTCCAAGGATCAGGAAAAATGTCTTGACTCAATTCCAACAATGCTTCGTCTGAACTACAGATTCTATACTTGGCACTTTTATCCCCTAATCTACTCATTGTCCCAAGCGGCCAGGAACAGATTTCGTTTCAGCCTTGACTTTGTTATCAATCTCTCTCTGAGCCTGGCAGAATGCCTAGGAGATTGGGTTGTTTGTCTGTGCTGACTAAAAACATGCCTTCTATGTACTGGCTCATTAATTTCCGCAGCTGGCCCAGGTGCCAAACTATTTTCAGGCTCTTACTGAAAGGGTCTTTGAGTGAAATTAGCAAATGCTAAGCAAGGGGCTTTGAATGAAATTAGCAAACAAAGGAGAAATATACCCTTTGTCTGTAGAAAAGGAGCAACATGGAATAAAATGTTTTAAAAACAAGAGATGACATGTAGGGGTCATACAAAGTTCAAGCTTAGATAGGAAGTTGTGTTGTGGCTAAGCGCAAAGGTTGTGGTTAAACGCAAAGTCTGCAGGTGCAAGAAGGTACTTTCCATCAAAAGGTCAAGGGAAGGGGGCTGGAAAGAGAGTATTTTTCATGACCAAAAAACCCTTGTATTACTTGAGTATAAAGGTCAGCAAAAACAGAGGAGGGGGTGGCAGTCTGTGAAAGCTCATACAGAAGTGCTGTCTGTCCACCTCATGCTGATCAGCTTGAATAAACGGTGTCTTACCTGAACCTATTGGACTCTGTGGATTTCTTCAAAAAGGGACCCCGCACCCTAAACCCGTGATCCCTTACAATGTCATCATCCCCAAACCCTTCAGGAACATTCTCATCAGAAAAGACACTTTGAACAGGAATCCCATTGTCACTCTCTGCATCAATAGCAACCTCATCATTAGAAACATCATCAGATACATGAACCTCATTGTCATTCCCAACATCCAGAGTACCCTGATCATTAGACACAATCACACGCTGAACTCCAACAAAGTCCAAAACCCCTGGAGGGTCCAAATTTGCCCATGCCTGGGCTAATCGCCCATTTTCAGCCAGAGAGAGGCCAAGTGGCTTGCTCACCTTTGCCAAAGGGAATCTTTGTTCGAATGAAGCTCAGATCCTGCATATTTATGTCGTCAATTTGAAGAGTGGGATATTCGGCAATGTGGTCATATATAAATTCACCTTCGTACACATGTCCATTCTTGAACACAAGCTTACCCTAAAGGGAAAGAGAAACCGAGTGGGCACATCCATCCTACTTTTGCTTCTCTGTTTACATAATCCCGACCAGCATAATCCTGCCCACGATCCTATTTGCTGGGTAGTTGCAATAGACAATGAAAATATAAATGAAAGGTTTTAATGAGATGGCCTATTTACTCAAATCGAAAGTTCAATGGGCTGTATGGCCATGCTCCAGAAGCATTCTCTCCTGACGTTTCGCCTACAACTATGGCAGGCATCTTCAGAGGTTGTGAGGTCTGTTGGAAACTAGGCAAGTGAGGTTTATATCTCTGTGGAATAATGTCCAGGGTGCGAGAAAGAACGCTTGTCTGTTGGAGGCAAGTGGGAATGTTGCAATTGGCCAGCTTGATTAGCACTGAATGGCCTTGCAGCTTCAAAGCCAAATAGAAAACAATCAGGGCCAGCGAATATTTATTTATTTATTTACAACATTTATAGACCACCCTTCTCATCCCGAAGGGGACTCAGAGCAGCTTACAAGATACATATACATACAATATATTATGTTATTAGCATAGTACAATATCAGTATTAAATATTACTATATTGTACTATACCATTATATTGTAATATTATTAGTCCTATTACATGTAATGAGCCCCAGGTGGCGCAGTGGGTTAAAGCACTGAGCTGCTGAGCTTGTTGACCGAAAGGTTGCAGGTTCAATTCCAGGGAGCGGCGTGAGCTTCCACTGTCAGCCCTAGCTTCTGCCAACCTAGCAGTTCGAAAACATGCAAATGTGAGTAGATCAATAGGTACCGCTCCGGTGGGAAGGTAACGGCGCTCCATGCAGTCATGCCGACCACATGACCTTGGAGGTGTCTACAGACAACGCCGGCTCTTCGGCTTAGAAATGAAGATGAGCACCACACCCCAGAGTCAAGACATGCCTGGACTTAATGTCAGGGGACAACCTTTACCTTTACCTATTACATGTAATATAAATATATAATTATAATATCATATTATTAGTAGCAGTATTATATTGCATTACATTATAATATTATAAATATTATATGTATATACAATATATTATATTACCTTATATTATATTATTAGCATATCACAGGAGACAAGGTGGAACTGTCCCCTGGCCCAGAGCGGCAGTTGGTGCTGGGGGAGGGGTCCCCAGCTAATGACTATAATATCTCCCAACAGAGGATTTCCCCAGGCAGGAAGCAGCCAGGCTTTGAAGCTGCAAGGCCATTCGAGGTTAATCAAGGTGGTCAATTGCAACATTCGCACATGTCTCATTAGAGTTTTTAACATTTTATCTTGTACATGTGGCCCACCCACTGTTACTGTGACTGTGTTTTTTGTTTATTGTAATATATATTTGTATTCTATTTTAATAGGGCCAGACGTATGTTGTATGTTGTGTTTGCACTGTCTGTTTTTGATAAGGCCAACTGGCTAAACAATAAAAATTGTTGTTGTTGTTTATTATGTTATTTTGTTACTGTATTTTTTTTCTTTTCCATGTAATTTTGATGATGTTGCTTGTTGTTTATGTTTTGGTTTTATCTTGATGTTATATGTTGTTCGGGGTATAAATAAAGATGATGATGGTGATGATGATGATGATGATGATGATGATGATGATGATTATGATTGTCTCCAAAAGACAAAAGTTTCTCCCACAATGAACATTCCACAGATATATAACCCCACTTACCTATTTTGCAACAGACCTCACGACTTCTGAGGATGCCTGCCATAGATGTGGGTGAAACGTCAGGAGAGAATGCTTCTGGAACATGGCCATACAGCCCGGAAAACTCACAGCAACCCGGTGATTCCAGCCATAAAAGCTTTTGACAAGACAATACTGAATCGCTGTGTCATGAAATGACGCAGTTCTCAAAAGGTGTGTCTCCGACATGAAAAGTTTGGAAAGCCCGGACACCCAATGCCGCTGCCTACCATGCCATGCTTCTTGTTGTAGACCCACTCCCCGTCGTACATGGCTCCGCTGGCAAAGAAGAACTTCCCGGATCCGTGGCGGTCCCCGTTGACAAAGTCTCCCACGTATTCGTTCCTCAGGGGATACTGCGAGCCGGGTATTCTCTTCAGGTACCAAGTGTGGGTCCCAAAACCATGCTGAGAAAGGAGAAACATCGTGCTGTTCGTTAAGGGCAGCCATGCTCATTTTGGGCAAAATTGCTAGTCTTAAATCTTAACCTGGGCCGGGCTTTAGCACAGCGGGTTATACCGCCAGCTGCAGAAAATTGTGCCAAGTTTGCCTGATCTATCCCATCTTCCTCCCTCCGTAACACTATTCTGAAACACCATTAACTTCGAAGACCTAAGGGAGTCCTCAGGGAATTTGCAGAAGGACACTGGGATTTGTAGTTTCAACATCCACACTTGGTAAACAAAACATCACCATAGAAAGCAAGTGGGCCGGATCTAGCATTGTATAGATCACAGAGTTGGAAGAGACCCCAAGGGCCATCCAGTCCAACCCTTTTGCGCCCTGCAAGAAAGGCACTATCAAACCAGTCCCGACAGATGGCCATCCCTCTCATGAAGTCCTTGATGCAGGCCTACCTGTATTCCATCCACCCACTTCCCAGTGTATTCCTGGTTCGTGGTCAGCCACCTCATCCGCCCCGATCCATGGCGCATGTCCCTCTCCCACTGGCCTTCGTAGATGTTTCCAGATTTGTAACTACGAAGGAGACAAACGAACCGGGAGCGAATTGAGCAGCAACCAGGTATATACTGACAATGCGAGAAGATACGGTGAGGGGCAGTTCTCAACCTCCATTGCGTTGTCTTGTGAATCACAACAGAGCTTTCCAAACTGTGTGTCGGGACATGTGTCGCCTGTGGTCTACAGGGGTGTTACATGAAGAATGCTCCCCACAAACAAAGGCTACCTGGTAGGACAGCACAGTCAAAGCCCTCCCAACAGATGGCCACCCAGCCTCAATACAAAAACATCCAGAGATGGAGACTTTGCTGGACTCTCAGGCAGTCTGTAATTCACTAGACTTGGATGGAAGGGATCCCCAAAGGGCATCTAGTGCAATGCCTTTCTCCTATTAAGGAAGACACAGTCAAAACCCTACCAACAGATGGCAATCCAGTCTCAATTCAAAAACATTCAAAGATGGGGACTTTGCTGGACTCTCGGGCAATTTGTAATTCACTAGACTTGGATGGAAGGGGTCACCAAAGGGCATCTAGTACAATCCCTTTCCCCTATTAAGGAAGACACAGTCAAAACACTCCCAACAGATGACCACCCACCCTCAATTAAAAAAAATCCAAAGATGGAGACTTTGCTGGACTCCAACTAGAGTTGGAAGGGGTCACCAAAGGGCTTCTAGTGCAATCCCTTTCTTCTATTAAGGAAGACACAGTCAAAGCCCTCCCAAAAGATGGCCACCCAGCCTCAATTCAAAAACATCCAGAGATTGAGACTGATGGACTCTCTGGCAGTCTATAATTCACTAGAGTTTTAAGGGAACCCCAAAGGGCATCTACTGGAATTCCTTTTCTCCTGTTAAGGAAGACACAGTCAAAACCCTACCTAAAAATGGCCATCCAGTCTCAATTCAAAAACATCAGAAGATGGAGAATTCCCTGGACTCCAAGGCAGTCTATAATTCACTAGAATTAGATGGAAGGGATCCCAAAGGCCATCTGGCCCAACTCCTTTCTCTTATTAAGGAAGTCAGTCAAAGCCCTCCCATGATATGACCACTCAGCCTATGTTTTAAAACCTCTCTGGGTTTAATCCATACAGAAGTGGAATGCTGGTGCTGTTCAAACTGCTATAACTTTTATACTTTGTTGATTGAGTTGCAGTAATTAACACTCAAATTGATAAGTTTCTAATTAAGACAAGATAATATGTTTGTGACGAATGCCATGGAAACTATACAGGAATCCACTGCAGTAGATCAGAAGTGGAAAGACAAAATCTTGGGCAATTTCCAAGATGTTGTCGAAGGCTTTCATGGGTGGAATCACTGGGTTACTGTGAGTTTTCCAGGGCTGTGTGGCCATGTTCCAGAAGCATTCTCTCATGACATATCTATGGCAGGCATCCTCAGAGGTTGAGGGTTTTGTTGGAACCTAAGTGAGTGAGATTTATATATCTGTGGAATGTCCAGGGTGGGGGGAAAAGAACTCTTGCCTGCTTGCGGTACGTGTGAATATTGCAATTGGCCAACTTAATTTGCACTTAATGGCCTTGCAATTTCAAGGCCTGGCTGATTGCTGCATGGGGGAATACTTTGTTGGGAGATGTTAGCTGCCCATGATTGTTTGCTGTGTGAAATTCCCCTGTTGTGGGTGAAACAGGGGAAAGAATGTCTGGAGAGAATGCTTCTGGAACATGGCCATAGGTAAAGGTATATGTTTTCCTCTGACATTAAATCCAGTCGTGTCTGACTCTGGGGGGTGGTGCTCATCTCCATTTCTAAGCCATTGTCCGTAGACACCTCCAAGGTCATGTGGACTGCATGGAGCACTGTTACCTTCCCACCCAGAAGCCCCCGGTGGCGCAGTGGGTTAAACCCCTGTGCTGGCAGGACTGGAGACCGACAGGTCACATGTTCGAATCCAAGGAGAGCACGGATGAGCTCCCTCTATCAGCTCCAGCTCCTCATGCGGGGATATGAGAGAAGCCTCCCACAAGGATGATAAAACTTCAAATCATCCAGCCTCCCCTGGGCAACATCCTTGCAGATGGCCAATTCCCTCACACCATAGGTGACTTGCAGTTTCTCAAGTCACTCCTGACACAACAAAAAAAATATCTTCCCACCGGAGCGGTACCTATCGATCTACTCACAATTGCATGTTTTCGAACTGCTAGGTTAGCAGAAGTTTGGGCTGACAGCGGATTTGAACTTGTGACCTTTTGGTCAACAAGCTCAACAGCTCAGTAGTTTAACCCACTGGAAAACTCACAGCAACCCAATTTCCAAGATGGTTCTAACTTTCAGAGAAACCTGTGATAGGACACAGATCCTCCCCATGACCAACAGAAGACACTGGACGGATGTGGGGAGGGGATTGGCTCTGGATGTTGGGAGTTATAGTTCGCCCACATCCAGAGAGCACTGTGAACAGTATTTCCTAATACATAGCGCTACAAAAGACCTTCCCTGGGCGATCAATGGGTAACTATTAGCTAATGCATGCAGAAAGGAGAGATACCCAGTGGAACGAATAATGGAATGGGGAACCACTGCATTACATTAGAAGCAAGGCACTGTTTACTAAGCACCCAAACTACAACTCTCATCTGTTTTTGCACCATGCTTATTCCCCCCAGAGGGAGGTGCACCGTTCCTGGAGGCACTGCAATACCAGGTCGATGCGTGGAGTGGATGGAGCAAGCCCCTATTCCATCTCCCAGGCCCAAAAATCCATTTAATATATAGTCCTCAAATAGAGGACGTATCAGATATTAAACTGATAAGAACAGATACTACACTTGATCTTAGCCAAAAGGCCGAGAAGCGATACCCATGCCTTCCCAATCCGACCAAGTCCCTCCTTCCAAGGATATTTCAGGTTATGGTGAGCGCTGTGAAGACGTGCAAGCATCTGGAAGTGTATTTACACTTTCTGCTCGGCAACCCTTTCCAACGTGCTCCACAAACCCAATACTTCCCAACACCCAAGTGGACACATTCATATAGAAACAATTTAATCCTAGATTTTATGTTTTTTCTCCACTGCAGAAATTTCAACTTTTTTCCCCGTCTTCCCCTTGGTGTGAAATTTGCATGATCCCGCCCACTGCCGCTCTCGTAAAGCGTAACCCTTTCGCCACCCTCTTGAGCTGTGCAGGAGGCCGAGCGACGGGAAAGCTTTTCAGGCAAAGCGCGAAGCAAATAATAATAATAATAATAATAATAATAATAATAATAACAATAACAACTTTCTTTACACCCCGCCACCATCTCCACAAAGGGGACTCAGGGCGACTTACATGAGGCCAAGCCCAACAAGACAGCAATGCAAATAGAGTGACGGGAAAGCTTTTCAGGCAAATAATAATAATAATAATAATAATAATAATAATAATAATAATTTATTTATACCCCCCGCCACCCTCTCCACAAAGGGGACTCAGGGCGGCTTACATGAGGCCAAGCCCAACAATACAGCAATGCAAATAAACAACATATAACAACAATAAAATATAAAAAATAAGGTGCAAGAAACAATATAAATAAGCATTTATATTAGCAAAACAATTCCACTCCCCTCTGCTGTTGATGGAGATGCGTCACCAGGAGGGCTTCAAGGGCAGTGTGAAAAATTGTACGGAAAATTGTATCCCAGTTTGCCGATTTGGTGAAATTCTCACTTTCGACCAGTTATGGGCAAAATTGGGCCCTCCTCTCCTGTGAAACCTCGTCTTCTTATTTACTCTTTCAAGTCAATTCCTACTGCTGCACCAAATAAGATGGATCTGCACCAATCAGGATGGTGAAGTGGGTTAAACCCCTGTGCCAACTGACAGGTCACAGGTTTGAATCTGGGGAGAGCGCAGATGAGCTCCCTCTATCAGCTCCAGCTCCTCATGCGGGGACATGAGAGAAGCCTCCCCCACAAGGATGGTAAAACATCAAAACATCCGGACATCCCCTGGTCAACTTCCTTGCAGACAGCTAATTCTCTCACATTAGAAGCGACTTGCAGTTTCTCAAGTTGCTCCTAACATGAAAAAAATAAAATAAACCTTTGGTGGTCTCCCATCCAACTGCTACATAACTATGATTTAATTATGGAGCCAACGGTGGCGCAGTGGGTTAAACCCTTACGCCAGCAGGACGAAGACCAACAGGTCGCAGGTCCAAATCCGGGGAGAGCGCAGATGAGCTCCCTCTGTTAGCTCCAGCTCCTCATGCGGGGACATGAGAGAAGCCTCCAACAAGGATCAAAACACCCGGGCGTCCCCTGGGCAATGTCCTTGCAGATGGCCAATTCTCTCACACCAGAAGCGACTTGCAGTTTCTCAAGTTCCTCCTGACACGACAAAAAAGGGATGCGATTGGGGGAAAACTCACCATCGGATCCCCCATCCGCTTTTGACATTGTAGACGAAGTCCCCTTCGTACCAAGAGGAGCCTTCCTTGTTGTAGTAAATGGTGCCCTGGAAATCAAATTAGGACAGTGTAGGTCAGGCATAGGCCAACTTGGGCTCTCCAGGTATTTTGGACTCCAACTCCCACCATTCCTAACAGCCTCAGGCCCCTTCCTTTTCCCCCTCAGCCGCTTAAGCACAGTAGCTTTTTACACACAGCAGCCTTCACACTGGAAGTTCCTCTCACACTGAGGCATTCTCATCTGAGGCCTACTAACACTGACAACCACCTGCTAACAGGCACACTTGTTTATATTGAATTGCGGTGTTTGCTGAGACATTGAATCCATTTAACCCTTTCAGTGCTAGACTCACATTTTTGTAATTAAAAATACCTAGTTAGTTTTTAATATTTCTGACATATTTATCTGCTGAAAAGAAGATATACTAAATTGCTGGTGGTAGTTCAAGTGGCTGAGGCAGGAAAGGAAGGGGCCTGAGGCTGTTAGGAATGGTGGGAGTTGGAGTCCAACACACCTGGAGAGCCCAAGCTGGCCCATGCCTGACCCAGGCGATGATGCTGCTGCTTGCATTACCTTGCCGTGCCGCTTGCCATCGACCCACTGGCCGATATAGGAAACGGGGTACGTGCCACACTTATACATGCCAAACCCATGCCGGATGCCAGCCTTCACTTCCCCTTCGTAGATGCTGCCATCGGGCCAAGTGTAGCTGCCGTGCTGCATCTGCAGGTTCTTGACAAAGTTCCCCTAAAATCCAAAGAAGAGAAGAGAGAGATTCGCTCCCGGAACAAAGCATATTTTATTTGTGTTGTTGAAGGATTTTGAAGCCAGAATCACTGGGTTGCTGTGAGTTTTCTGGGCTGTATGGCCATGTTCCAGTAGCATTCCCTCCTGATATTTTGCCTGCATCTGTGGCTAATGGCATCTTCAGAAGTTCTGTTGGCAGGAAAGCAAATTGAGTGCATATATATCTATGGAATGATGTCCAGGGTGAGAGAAAAAACCCTTGTCTGTTTGAAGCAAGTGGGAATGCTGCAATTGGCAAGCTTGAAGAGCATGGAGTAGCCATGAAGCTGCAGCATAGAGGTAGCCTGGCTGTTGTTGCCTGGAGGCATCTTTTTTTGGGAGGTGTTAACTGGCACTCAGTTGGGGTTGCTGTGAGCTTTCCAGGCTGTCTGGCCATGTTCCAGAAGCATTCTCTCCTGACGTTTCAGCCGCATCTATGGCAGGCATCCTCAGAGGTTGTGAATCCGGAAACCAGGCAAGTGGGGTTTATATATCTGCGGAATGATGTCCATGGTGGGAGAAAGAACTCTTGTCTACTTGAGGCAAGTGTGATTGTTGCAATTGGCCACCTTGATTAGCACTGAATGGCCTAGCAGCTTCAAAATATGGCTGCTTCCTGTCTGGGAAAATCCTTCCAGATGTTGAGTAGCCTTGCAGCTGCAAAGTAAATCAGTGAGGGTATTTGCATAGATTTGCATTTAATTTAAGTGGTCTCCAGGAAAGAAGTTGACACTTATAATCTATAAAGAGATATGAACACCAGAAATAAAGATATAATATGAAAGAAAAAGGTATAATATATTAAATTACACAGAATTAACAGGAACCAACTTCATGAAATTGGCCAAAGGCATTTAAACATTGGATTTATGTACATAAAAAGCATACAATCCATCTCTAAAGAAATGTTTCCATAATGAACATATACTTGGACAAAAACATCCAAATTATGTTTCTGTTTTATGTAAACTGAAAAGTCTATTGCATCAAGAAGAGTAGCAAGATCTTTGAAAAGTCTTTCTGTTCACAAATAAACATTCAGAAAAATAAAATATCTGACCAGGTTTTCTTTTCTTCCAATGTTTCCATTAACAGTATGAATATATATATATTCATATTCAAAATATGTTGTGCCTAGAGGCATCTTCAGTTTGAGAGGTGTTAACTAGCACTTGATTGTTTGCTGTCTGGAATTCCCCTGTTTTTGGTTTTTTTTAGTGTTGTCCTTTATTTACTGTCCTGGTTTTAGAGTTTTTTAATTACTGGCAACCAGATTTTGTTCATTTACACAGTATCCTCCTTTCTGTTGAAATTGTCCACATGCTTGTGGATTGCAATGTCTTCTCTGTGTAGTCTGACATGGTGGTTGTTAGGGTGGTCCAACATTTCTGTATTCTCAAATAATATGATGTGAAGTAAGCAGCCAGACCTTGAAGCTGAAAGACTATTCAATGCTAATCAGGGTAGCCAATTGCAACATTCACACCTGCCTCAACCAGACAACGGTTCTTTCTCCCACCCTGGACATCATTCCACAGATATATATATATATATACACACACACACACACCCACTTGCCTCACTTCCAACAGAACTCTGAAGATGTCAACCACAGATGCAGGCAAAATGTCAGGAGGAAATGCTACTGAAACATGACCATACAGCCCAAAACATTCACAGCAACTCAGAGTTTCTATTTTCTTGAGATATTACATTTTTAAAATAATTTTTCTACCTGGACAGAAGAGCATCACCTTTGTAGATGCATTATATTCTATGTAACGTTAGTTTTATTTATAAATTTAAAAACAGAGCATAAGGGGAGGAATCAACACAAGCAGCCTGGCTACAAGGACCTGCATCCATCAAACTCATACAGCAATTCGTTTCCGGCCCCATCAATACTGCCATAGAAAATATCTGCTTTGAACTGGATTATATTGGAAGTTTAGACACTTATAGTGCACTTCAAATCAGATAATATGGCAGTGTTTCTCAACCTGGAGGTGAGACCCCTGGGGGGTCGCGAGGAGGGGGTGTGAGAGGGGTCGGCAAAGACCATCAGAACACACATATTTCTGATGGTCTTAGTTTGGTCCGGATCCATCATTGTTTGAGTCCACAGCGCTCTCTGGATGTAGAACTACAACTCCTAAACTCAAGGTCAATGCCCACCAAACCCTTCTAGTATTTTACATTGGTCATGGGAGTTCTGTGTGCCAACATTGGTTCAATTCCATCATTGGTGGAGTTCAGAATGCTATTTGATTATAGGTGAACTATAAATCCCAGCAGCTACAACTCCCAAATGTCAAGGTCTATTTTCCCCAAACTCCACCAGTGTTCACATTTGGACATATTGAGTATTTGTGCCATGTTTGGTCCAGATCCATCATTGTTTGAGTCCAGAGTGCTTTCTGGATGTAGGTGAACTACAACTCCTAAACTCAAGGTCAATGCCCACCAAACCTTTCCAGTATTTTACGTTGGTCATGGGAATTCTGTGTGCCAACATTGGTTCAATTCCATCGTTGGTGGGGTTCAGAATGCTCTTAGATTGTAGGTGAACTATAAATCCCAGCAACTACAACTCCCAAATGTCAAGGTCTATCTCCCCCAAACTCCACCAGTGTTCACATTTGCACATATTGAGTATTTGTGCCAAGTTTGGTCCAGATCCATCATTGTTTGGGTTCACAATGCTCTCTGGATGTAGGCGAACTACAACTCCTAGACTCAAGGTCAATGCCCACTAAACCCTTCCAGAATTTTCTGTTGGTCATGGCCACCCAGCCTCTGTTTGAAAGCCTCCAAATGAGTACTTAGGCAGAAGCAAAGCTCTCTGTCAAAATAATAAACAGCTCTAAGGTGAATCCATTCAACATTGCCTTACCTCGTACTTCACTCCATCCGCCCACGTGTAAGTTCCTCGTCCGTGCATGAGGCCTTCGGAAAACATGCCCTTCGAAGGGAAAGACAGATTCATCAATACTTCTACAAGTACGACAAGCACAAAGGACACTCAAAGTGGCTTACATTAAAAGCATTTCAATACCATCTGAGGAGCCCCTGGTGGCGCAGTGGATTAAACCGCTGAGCTGCTGAACTTGCTGACCAAAAGGTCATAGGTTCAAATCTGGGAGCGGGGTGAGTTCCCGCTGTTAGCCCCAGCTTCTGCCAACCTAGCAGTTCGAAAACATGCAAGTGTGAGTAGATTAATAGGTACTGCTCCGACGGGAAGGTAATGGCACTCCATGCAGACATGCCAATGGCCACATGACCTTGGAGGTGTCTACGGACAACGCCAGCTCTTCGGCTTAGAAACGGAGATGAACACCAACCCCCAGAGTCAGACACAACTGGACTTAATGTCAGGGGAAAACCTTTACCTTACTAATACCATTTAAAATCGACAAACATGCAAACATTAAAATTAGAATTAAATATCAATGGTATTGATACACCTCCAAAAAGTATAAGATTAATAGAAAAGGACAGGTTAGTTGATCTGCATTATAAAGGCAGTGAAGATAAGTATGTCTAGGTTTATATGTACACATAAGTATTGCTGCTTTTCTTTTTTTCTGCAGGATTATTTTTCCGTTTTTCTTTTGAAAATTAAAAATATTGGGGGAAAACAAAACAAAATGAAAATAGAACCCATGCAGCTGCAAATGAAACCTACCCACCTTATATACATTGCCCCCTTGAAAATATGCTATTCCTTCTCCCTCGTACAATCCACGGACTTTGTCGCCTTCGTAGCTACAAGGAAAACAAACGAATCAGGGTTCAATCCAGATCTAAGAGAGCCTTTGGGGGGCATCTATGCTTTAGAATAGGTGTCACAAGAAATATAATATTTATTTAGTTGTTTATGACATTTATATGCCGCTCTTCTCACCCCGAAGGGAACTCGGAGCGGCTTACTATATATATATATTATTATATATAATTATTATTATTATTATTAGCATAGCACAATATCAGTATTATTTATTACTATATTGTACTATACCATTACATTGTAATATTATTAGTAATATTACATGTAATATAAAATATATAATTATAATATCATATTATTAGTAGTAGTAGTATTATATTGCATTACATTATAATATTATAAATACTATATGTATATACACTTATATTATATTATATTATATTATATTATATTATATTATATTATTAGCATAGCACAGGAGACCAGGTGAAACTGTCTTCCTGGCCCCTCTTTTTTCACTTGTTGGACTGTAATTAAAAGTTGCTAATGAGAACTGAAAAAGTCAACTGTGATAAGCACTGTGACACTGATAAAAGAAATGTTTACAATGTTAAGAATGAAGTCAACACAAAGGCTAACAGCAATCATGAAGAATCAACATCTGGCCAGGCAACTGAGATGGGGCCAGGATGGAAGATGTCTATCATCAATTTAAAACTTTGGGACTACATCAGCAAAATATTCCTATATAAGTGGCACAGTGGGTTAAACTGCTGAGCTGCTGAACTTGCTGACCAAAAGATCACCGGTTCAAATCCGGGGAGTGGGGTGAGCTCCCACTGTTAGCCCCAGCTTGTGCCAACCTAGCAATTAAAAAGCATGCAAATGTGAGGAGATCAGTAGATACTGCTCCAGCAGTAAGGTAATGGTACTCCATGCAGTCATGCTGGCCACATGACTTTGGAGATGTCTACTGAAAACGCCGGCTCTTTGGCTTAGAAATGGAGATGAGCACCAACCCCCAGAGTCGGACACGACTGGACAATGTCAGGGCAAAACCTTTACTTAAGTGACCATATGACATTCCAGAAAGTGTAACAGACAGAGACGCTCTTCACCCGCTATGCTCTGCTCCATTAAGAAGGAGAAAGATAGTGCGTGTATGGAGAGTGACAGGTCTGCTATGGAAAAGCAGGATTCTCTGTTCTCTTTGGGGTCACCGTATGATGCAAATCCAATGTGCACCCTAATTTTAGCGAGGTCATTTAGCCAAACAAAGGTGAGCATTAGATATGAGAACACGGGGAAATTCCTGAGCTTACCTTTCCACAATGAGCCGCGTGAGGATGGGCTCCTCGTACTCGATGGGCTCTGGGACCGGCACCACTCCCGGCTCTTTCGGCTCCTCCTTGGCCAGCAAAGAGGCCGCCAGCTGATCGTCCCCTTGATTTCCTGCTGCCAAAATGGTCTGTAGGGAGCTGCCGGCATCGAGGGGTGCATCGTGTGCCGCAGGCGGGGGCAAAGATTTCTCTCCCTTTTTGCTGTCTTTCTTCTTATCTTTGCCCATCCTGGCGAGGCTACGGAATCAAGCCTTCCTGCCGTTCGCATCCACTTCAAGTGTCCCGTATCTTTGGCGAGAACCTACGAGAATCATATTGTTCAATGTATTGTCGGAGGCTTTCGTGGCCGGAATTATTGGGTTGTTGTGAGTTTTCCAGGCTGTCTGGCCATGTTCCAGAAGCATTCTCTCCTGACGTTTTGCCTGCATCTATCCTCTGAGGATGGCTGCCATAGATGCAGGCGAAATGTCAGCAGAGAATGCTTCTGGAACATGGTCCTACAGCCTGGAAAACAAACAACAAGCCAATCATATTGTTCATTTTCTTGTGGCTGATTATCTTTTATTTATTTACCCCTTCTCTCCTGACCTTCAGGAAAAAACTGAGGACATAGCTTTGGGACCAGGATTTTGGCAAGTAATTGGAGCAGTTCAGTAAGTGACCATGGATCAATGTGATTGACAAATGGAATGGCCCTGGATTGTGATTTGGATGGTGTAATTTTAATTGAAGTTTTAATTATTTGGTTTTAATTGTAATTGTTTATTTTTTAAATATATTGTATGTTTTGAGGCACTGTGTAAGTGTTATTTGTAAACCGCCTCAAGTCCCCCTTGGGGTAGAGAAAGGCAGGATATAAACAAGGTAAATAAATAAATGTGTGTATGACATCAAATTGCTGCCTGTTGTAAGGCTGCCTTGCGTCACCTCCTGGGTGAGAAGGGCAAGGTACAAACATGGTTAATTATATATATATATATATATATATATATATATATATATAACCATATTACTTGCTATATTACTTATTATATTACTTACTATATTACTTATAGTATTACTTACTATATTACTTATTTACCATATTATTTACCATATTATCATATTTGAGTAAATAATATATATATAATTTTCCATGTTAAAGTTCTCTCTCTCTATATATATGTATATATATGTGTGTGTAGGTGTGTATATATATGTGTATATATATATGTACTAGCCGCCCCCTGCCACGTTGCTGTGGCCCACATGGGGTTCTGTGTGGGAGGTTTGGCCCAATTCTATCATTGGTGGGGTTCAGAATGCTCTGTGATTGTAGGTGAACTATAAATCCCAGCAACTACAACTCCCAAATGTCAAGATTCTATTTTCCCCAAACTCCACCAGTGTTCACATTTGAGCATATTGAGTATTCGGATAGAGTTTGGTCCAGATCCATCATTATTTTATTCCACAGTGATCTCTGGATGTAGATGAACTACAACTCCAAAACCAAAGGATGCCTGCCATTGATGTGAGTGAAACGTCAGGAGAGAATGCTTCTGAAAGATGGCCATACAGCTATGAGAAAACTCATAGCAACCCATTCATCTATTTTCCCACCAGAAATATTTTCCCAAAAAGGGAGCTGCACAAGTCAAAAGATGGGAAAACTATAAATCAGGGGTTCTCAAACTAAGGCCCAGGGGCCAGATACGGCCCTCCAAGGTCATTTACCCAGCCCTCACTCAGGGTCAACCTAAGTCTGAAACTACTTGAAAGCACACAACAACAACAATCCTATCTCATCAGGAAATAAAACCTGACTACTCACTGGAGGGAAGGATATTAAAGGCGAAGCCGAAGTACTTTGGAGACATCATGAGAAGAAAGGAAAACTTAGAGAAGACAATGATGCTGGGGAAAATGGAAGGAAAAAGGAAGAGGGGCTGACCAAGGGCAAGATGGATGGATGGCATCCTTGAAGTGACTGGACTGACCTTGAAGGAGCTGGGGGTGGTGACAGCCAACATGGGCTGTTCCGTGAATTCACAAAGAGTTGGAAATGACTGAACGAATAAACAAAAACATCAGATATTAAACTGATGGAGTTGATGGAGCAAGCCCCTATTCCAGTGGTTCTCAATCTGGGGTCCCCAGGTATTTTTGGCCTACAACTCCCAGAAATCTCAGCTAGTGTACCACCTGTTAGGATTTCTGGGAGTTGAAGGCCAAAAACATCTGGGGACCCCAGATTGAGAGCCACTGCCTATTCCATCTCCCAGGTGTTAGCTGGCCCTGATTGTTTGTTGTCTAGACTTTCCCTGTTGTGGGCAAAACAGGGGAAGAACGTCAGGAGAGAATGCTTCAGGAATATGGCCATACAACCCAGAAAACACACAGCAACCCAACTCCCAAGACAGTTCCCACTTTCAGAAAGGTCTGTGATGGGATACAGATCCCTCCATGAGCAACAGAAAACACTGGATGGGTGTGGGGAACGGATTCACTCTGGATTTTGGGAGTTGTAGTTTGCCCACATCTAGAGAGATGGCACCACAAAAGACCTTACCTCGGTCATCTACTGGCTAAGTGGTAGCTAAGGTATACAGAAATGAATAATGGAATGGGGAAACACTGCATTACATTAATAGCAAGGCAATGTTTACTAAACACCCAAACTACAACTCTCATCTGCTTTTTGCACCATGCTTATTCCCCCCAGAGGGAGGTGCACCGTTCCTGGAGGCACTGCAATACCAGGTCGATGCGTGGAGTGGATGGAGCAAGCCCCTATTCCATCTCCCAGGCCCAAAAATCCATTTAATATATAGTCCTCAAATAGAGGACGTATCAGATATTAAACTGATAAGAACAGATACTACACTTGATCTTAGCCAAAAGGCCGAGAAGCGATACCCATGCCTTCCCAATCCGACCAAGTCCCTATCTCCAAGGATATTTCAGGTTATGGTGAGCGCCGTGAAGACGTACGAGCATCTGGAAGCATATTTACACTTTCTGCTCAGCAACCCTTCCCAACGTGCTCCACAAACCTAATACTTCCCAACACCCAAGTGGACACATTCATATAGAAACAATTTAATCCTAGATTTTATGTGTTTTGTCCACTGTGGAAATTTCAAAACAATTCCCGTCTTCCCCTTGGTGTGAAATTTGCATGATCCCGCCCACTTCCTCTACCGCGAAGCCCTGCTTGTGTTCATTCGTTGCCACCCTTTCAACTGGTTTCTTTCTATACCTATCAAGTATATATTCATAACTGGGGGGCGGGGAGGGATTCTGGGTTAGCCAACAATAATAAATAGTTATTAAATCCCGTCTAATAAGTGCAAAGCTGTACTTACAGAGAGGCCAGTGCAGGCTTCCTTAGCAACCGCCAGCTGGACTGCTCTGCCTTAGCCACGCCTACTTTCTGGGCCCGGGCCGTAACCATGGCAACCCTGAAGATTCCAAGACAAGCATGCTTTTCTGTTCAGGAAGAAGCCCTTCACTCTCCAGTGGGACTCTTGCACATGCAATGTCTTGCCTTGCATGAGAAGACTTACACTTCGTAGGTTATGTTTGGTTTTGGTTTTGCATAACTGACCCAAGTTAGAAGAGCTCCCAAGGGTCATCTATATATAGCAATATATTATAATCGTAATCTTATATAAATAAAAATGTAATGTTCATTTGTGGGATTAACATAACTCAGAAACCACTGGATGAATTGACACCAAATTTGGACACATCTAACAGTCCAACGAGCATTCATCACCCCTAAAAACACACACACACACAAACCCCAGCAGAATGGAATTAAAAACCCCAAAATAAGCCATATATACATATACACACATACACTCATATACACATGCACACACACATATACTCAAGCACACACAAATACATATACATACACACATATATACATATACACATGCACACATACATGCACACATAAATACACACATCTATACAGACAAATATGCATATAGACAAGCACACACATGTACACAATATAATAATAATATTTATTTATTTGATCAGTCATATGACCATTTCAAAATAAAACACGAGTAAAAAACAAGGCAACAAGATGATAAGTCAGACTCTGTACACAATATACATATACACATATAAACACACAAATATATACACATCTACATATACACATATGCACACACATATATACACCCATACACACAAATTCACATATATACAAAGATACATAAATATATACACACATATAAACACATATATACACACACAAAACACATATATATACAGACTGGCCACAGCAATGCATGGCATGGGACGGCTAGTCTTATATAAATAAACATGTACCAATGTTCGTTTGTGGGATTAACATAACTCAAAAACTACTAAACGAATTGACACCAAATTTGGACACAATACATCCCTCAGGCCAAGGAGTAACCATTACTCATAAAAACACTGAAAAACACTGCAGAAGAAACTTTAAAAGCCAAAAACTAAAAAATACATTACAACACATACTCTCAACCACACATATATACGCAAACACACATATATACACAAATACACACACATATACACATACAAAACACATATACACAGACTGGGCCACAGCAATGCATAGCTTGGGACGGCTAGTATAATAATTGTATATTATATATTATATGTAGTATTACTTTTTTTGTGTGTCAGGAGCTACTTGAGAAACTGCAAGTTGCTTCTGGTGTGGGAGAATTGTCTGTCTGCAAGGACGTTGCCCAGGGGATGCTTGGATATTTGATGTTTTACCATCCTTGTGGGAGGCTTTTCTCATGTCCCCGCATGGGAAGCTGGTGCTGTCAGATGGAGCTCATATGCGCTGTCCCCAGATTCAAATCTGCAACCTGTCAGTCTTCAGTCCTGCCAGCACAAGGGTTTAACCCATTGCTCCACTAATAATAATAATATTATTAATAATAAATATAGTGGCATAGCACAATATAATAATCTATAATACTGTGCTATATTAATAATACTAATGCTAATAATACTAATAATATTGCAATACTAATAATATTGCAGTATAGTGACATAGCACAATATAATAATCTATAATACTAATATTGTGCTATGTTAATAATACTAATGCTACTAATTCTAATAATATTGAAATACTAATAATATTGCAGTATAGTGGCATAGCACAATATAATAATCTATAATACTAATATTGTGCTATGTTAATATTAATGCTAATAATTCTAATATTGCAATACGAATATTGCAGTATAGTGACATAGCACAATATAATAATATAATATACTAATATTGTGCTATGTTAATAATATATATACATATAATATTAGTAATAATGTAATACAATTGACCCAAGGTGGGAGGAGGGGGGCTCTGGTATGTGGGAAAGGCACCAGGGCCTTTTGGGGTGATTTATGATGTAGTAGCTTTGATCCTATATATATGAGCAGATTTTTTAGATGCTTGTATTCCAAACAATAAAGATGCATGGTAACTTTCACCATTGTGTGTCTTGGCGTATTCTTTCCAGTGAATACTAAACCCATAGCAGCACAGTTGAAGCAAAGAACCTCTGACGTTGAATTAGTCTGCAGTGCCTTTCATGTTCTTTAATCCATGTCTGAGTAATGGTGCATTTGATGGTCCCTATGTAGACTTGTCCACAGCTGCATGGTATACAACAGACTCCTGCAGTGCTTAAAAAAATCCCTCCTATCCTTTGCTGAACGTAAAATTTGTTGGATTTTCTCAGTGGATCTATAGATTGTTTGGAGCTTGTGTTTCTTCATCAGCGTCCTTATGCGGTCAGTGGTCCCCTTGATGTACGACAAGAACACTTTTCCTCTGGGTGGATCTTTGTATTTACTTTCGTGGCTTCTTATTTATTTATTTATGACATTTATATGCCACCCTTCTCACCCCAAAGGGGACTCAAAGCATCTTACAAGATATATATACATTCAATTTATTATATTATTAGCATAGTACAATATCAGTATTAAATATTACTATATTGTAATATTATTAGTAATATTACATGTAATATAAATATATAATTATAATATCATATTATTATTATTAGTATTATATTGCATTACATTATAATATTATAAATATTATATGTATAGACAATATATTATATTACATTATGTTATATTATTAGCATAGCACAAGAGACAAGGTGGAACTGTCCCCTGGACCCCTCTCTCTTCTCTGGATCAGAACAGCAATTGGTGCTTGTTCCGTCTTCCAGGAGCTTGGTTTGCATTGCCCCTTAGTTGCTTGAAATAGCATCCCCTTGCATTTCCCCCAGGGTTGCTACAGTCTTAGCAGCACCCTAATAGTCAAACATTAGCAGAGGCTGGACGCCAGCCTGCAAGCCTTTTGCAGCTATTGGCTTAAAAAAGTATCTCTTTGGTCCAGAGACCACCCTTTTTCCTGGGGATGAGATCTCCATTTTGGAGAAGATCTTCTGCTTTCTTCAATATAGAATAAGCCTCAGATGTGCTGGTGGCCAAGCGAGGCAGCTCGGACCGGCCATCGTGAGTACGGTTACTCTCTTTGAAACTGGTGCTGAGCTCAGATAGGGGATAACCTGTTATTTCTTAAAGGTATCAGCTCAGCGCTGGGGGAGAGAATATCTCAGGATTTCTCTGCCATTGAGGGAGGCTCCATTACTTCATCCCCAAACTATCCTTGAGCTTGGATAGGGAAAGTCCTGTTCTTTCTAAAAGATAGCAGCTCAGGGTTAGGATAAAGGATCCTAGGATTTTTCTGCCATTTGGGGGAAGTTAACTCAGTAGCTGAAGGGAAAGGAAAGGAAAGAACATCTACATGGTTTCACAAATTGACTGTTTTGTTTGTAACTTCATCAAGCTGTGCCAAGTCTGCCAAGGACTTTGAAAAATAAATGTTCTGTTTGATGTTCAAACCTGGACTGGCCTCAGTTGCTGGGAATCATAGGCTTCTAAGTAAGGCATCTGCTGTTCACCCGGATAAAGAGAGAAGCACATCTTAGTTTTAACTTTGTAGTGTCTGGGTGTGACGGCACAGTGCTGCTGGGAGGGGTCCCCAACTGATGACATATGCATCTTGCAGGCCTTCTGAGGTCTGTCGTAGAATACCCATTGGCCTGTAGAGCCCAGTTTAGCCTGGGCTCTACAGGCTAAACTGTACAGAGCCCAGTACAGTTTTCACCTTTTGAGTCGCTCCACAGTTCAAAGCAAGGCAGCCATAGGAATAAAATGAAGACAAGTCATGAAGAATTAAAAACAATTTAATGAATACTGGAATAGATGTGTGTGTGTGTGTGTGTGTGTGTATATTCTAGTATAAAACATGAGGTCAATCAAGTTGTGATAATGGATAAGCAATTCTTTGTATGTGCAGAGGTAAACACTATTGCCTCTCTGTCTAATCCAGGCTTTAAGCGACTGAAGGGTAAAAAGAAGCGGCCTGAGGCTATTAGGAATTGTGGGAGGTGAAGTCCAAAACACCTGGAGGGCCCAAATTTACCCAGGCCTGATCTAGACCCATAATCTTTTTCTGCCCTCCCCACCGCTAAATTGAATATAATCACCCCTTAACTTCCCTGTTCTCACTAATGGAGCCAGCAAAAAAGCAACCTTTACTATGGATGCCACTTCAATCCATTGCACATAATAAACAAGACGTAAAAAGGGGACAGCAAAATTATATTTTCCCCAAAAGTATAAACACAACCAAGGAAAACGACTTTGGATCTTTGCTAGCGACATGATACCATATTGAGCGATCGCTTAGTCAGAATTACAAGTTTCATGATCAACCAGGATTCCAAAAAAAATCAGAATGGCTTTCAGAATAAAGAAAAAGGCTAAGTTTCAAAACGAAACGGAGAAAGCTTGTTGTTATTCTTGCGAAATCAAGTCCAAATTGGCGATATGCCTGATTGTAGGCCTTCCATGGGGACAGTTCCAAGGATGCTCAATCTCACCCATGTGGACGATCAATTTCTTCATTTCCTTCACATTAAGTGCTGTTCCAACCATCACCTGGGGAAAGAAAAGCAGTGAAGACAAGGGCCCAGGAATTCTTTGATCTATGATGTGATACTATATATACATTTATTTACTCTTAAAAGGAATGACCTTTGATCCGGGATCTTGTTCTCCGGTCTCCTTCTCTATACAAGACTTAATTCTTGAACACAGAATACAAAATTGTCAGAGGAAAGGCTTCCCGTTCATTGGAACAGTGTTTGGACTTCCAAACATTTTGGACTTCAGCTCCCACAATTCCCGACTCTTGGTCAAGGCAGCAAAGGCTTCTGGGAGTTGAAATGCAAAGAGAAATGGGCATCAAACATAGGAATAGGCTCTGTAAATGACTCTGGGCATTTGACTAAACTGTTAATACAATTTAGAAAGTATCCATTCTATTCCTAATGAACATATCCTATTAACTCAAATCTAATGCTCATCTTTTTAGGCTAAATGCCATCACCCAAATTAAGGCGCATATTAGATTCGCTTTTCATACAGGGCCGCGGGTGGCACAAGGGGTTAAAACCCTTGTCCTACTGAACTGCTGGCCTGAAGGTTGGCAGTTCTACTCCGCGAGATAGGGTGAGCTCCCGCTGTTAGCCCTAGCTCCTGCCAACCTTGCAGTTCAAAAACATGCAGATGTGAGTAGATCAATAGGTACTGCTTTGGCGGGAGAAGGCAAAAAAGACGCTCCATGCAGTAATCCCAGCCCACACAACCAGGAGGTGTCTATGGACAACACAGGCTCCTCAGTTTGGAAATGGAGAAGAGCACCTCTCCCAGAGCCGGAGATAAGCATCACCTCCAGAGCCGGAAATGAAAGGAGAAGCCTTTGCCTTTGTCTGTGTATTTATGTCTTGTTGTATTTCATTGTAACAAGGCATTGAATGTTTGACTGTGTCTGTTTATAGGCTGCAATCCATTCTGAATCTCCTGGGGGAAAAGGGAGGAATATAAATTATTATTATTATTATTATTATTATTATTATTATTATTATTATTATCTTAGTGCTAAGCCAAAGCAAAAGGGGAAGCTGCTTCAGAAGCGCCTACTGAAGGGACATCATCTCTGATTTAATAGTCATGGTTCAATGCTATGCAGTCCTGGGATTCATCATTTCATGAGGCATCAGCATCCTTCGGCAGAGAAGCCTCAAGACCCCCAGGACTCCACAGCATTGAGCCAAGTCAATTAAAGTGAATTAATTCTACAGCATGGATACATCCCGGGCTTTAGCACAGTGGGTTAAAACTGCCAGCTGCAGAAAATCTTGCCAATTGAAAGGTCGACAGTTCAAGCTTGGGTTGAGGTGAGCTCCCAACTGTCAGCCAAGCTCCTGCTCACCTAGCAGTTCAAAAACAGTAATGTGAGTAGATAAATAGACACTGCTTTGGTGGGGAGGTAATACTAGGTACCCATGCTGACATGGTAATAATAAGTACCTATATTATTATTATTATTATTATTATTATTATTATTATTATCCTAAGGTTTTATATTCAATTGCTAGAAGGTTTGATGTTCTAATAGTTTTGTTTTGAAAGAAGGAATCACAAGCAGGCAGCAACAGTAATGCACACCTTTTGGGGCCAAATTACAATGAGCGCACTTTCTGCCGCTGTGTATTACATTCGGCAGCAATTTTTTTTGGTTTTGAAAATTTGGGTATGGCTTAGATTCAATGATCCATTAGACTCAAGCAAATACCGTCTAAAGCTAATGCAATACTTACAGACTTTCGACAAGCTCTAGAAGCAAACATCTGCCTGACTCTGGAAGGCCTGCACATCACTCCCGGGCTGTCACTCAACATGAAGATCAACTCCTCTATATCTTGGGGACCAAATGTCCAGTTTTTGCTCATTGGCAGAGAAATGAGTTTTACTCTTTGGGTTACAGGAGCTGAAAGGGTTCATGACAATTTGAAAATTCATGTTACATTTACCAACATACATGTTAACTTTTGACATTTCTATTAAATACAATATTTCCTACTTGCAATCTAAATCCTGAAGGTATTCATACCTAGCTCTTTAGCAAAAGGTACCCAAACTAACATGGTGAGTACAAAGTTGTGTGTTATGGGTATTATGCTGAGGCTTATCACAGCGGGTTAAACCCCTAAGTTACAGAAAATCCTGCCAATTCAAGCCCAGGTCAGGGTGAGCACCTGTCGTCATCCCCAGCTCCCTGCCCACCTAGCAGATTGAAAACAGAAATGTGAGTACATAAATAGGAACCACTTTTAAGTGGCGATTTGATCAGGAAGAAGTCTAAGGATGACAAAGCTCCTTGGTATGGAAAGTGGAGTGACAGTATCTTCCTCTCCCATGTCCAGAGTCAAGCCTCCAGATGCCGGAAATGGAAAATATCTGAAAAGCCTAAAACTCTTTATGTATTGTCTGTCCTTGTTAATTGTATAATGGCACTGAATGTTTGAAGGATAAATGTTCTGTAATCCGCCCTAAGTCCCCTCAGGGAGATAGAACAAAATATAAATAAAGTATATTATTTTAAAAATAATAAAGTATATTATTTTTATCAAGAGGACTGTTTTGAATTTCAAATATATTTTTTAAATCGTTTCATTTTTACTTTGGTTTCATGGTTCTTGGTAATTCTGTTATTTAATTAAATCCCTTAATTAATTAATTCTGTTATTTAAATCTGTTATTTAATTAAATCTGTTAAAACTGCTGTGCAAAATGATCTATCAAGAGCACAGCACCAGCATTCATATCAGATTGTCCTAACAGTCTAAGACAGTGGTTCTCAACCTCTGGGTCCCCAGATGTTTTGGCCTTCAACTCCCAGAAATCCTAACAGCTGGTAAACTGGCTGGGATTTCTGGGAGTTGAAGGCCCATGTAGTCATGCTGGCCACATGACCTTGGAGGTGTCTACGGACAACGCCGGCTCTTCGGCTTGGAAATGGAGATGAGCACCACACCCCAGAGTCGGACTCGACTGGACTTACTGTCATGGGAAAACCTTTACCATAACCTTATTATCAGTTTAACAGCTGAGAAACCTAATTGCCTTGCATGAATACTAGTGGATATTTGCCATTAGGGAGAGGCTGACTCAAGCAAGTTTTTAACTCTTCTCAGGGAGATTTCTGATTTTCCCAAAAAGGTTATGGCAGAGGTTCTCAACCTGCGAGTCCCCAAATGTTTTGGCCTTCAACTCCCAGAAATCCTAACAGCTGGTAAACTGGCTGGGATTTCTGGGAGTTGTAGGACAAAACACCTGGAGACCTACAGGTTGAGAACCACTGGTTTGAGAAGAATTTTGTTCATGAAGTCGGTACAAACAGGGAGCAAAAAGAGTTTCATTTCCTCTTCTATAGAACTGCATTGCCCAAAATAGATATTTCACTCCCCAACCCCTCCTGAGATGAACCAAGTCTTTTCATCAAGTGTTTGCATATCTCTTTGAAGTACAAGTTAGAAGTGAAAGGAGAGAGAAAGGAGAGAGAAAAAAGTAGAAGGAAGTGCAATTCTTGTAGCACATTAAGTTGTTCACAAGGTCAGGTTAGGAGTTACTCATCAGCACAGGATTCACTCCTTCATGCTGTGTTTCCTCCATACACCTAATAATATAACTAATGGACAAACAACGTGTAATGCTTGCATTATGCCTTACCTGAATGCTGGCTACTTTTCCAATTCTAGCCTTTACAGATTCGAATGTGTTAATTGCCCTCCAATTTTATTAAAAAGTTAACAGAAGGGCAAAAAAAGTAATATAGTTCCTTTCTCAAAAGCTGCTTTCTCAGGGCCCTTCCACACAGCCATGTAATCCAGAATATCAAGGCAGAAAATCCCACAATATCTGTTTGATATGAACCCACCAGGACTTTGAGATCTTCTGGGGAGGCCCTGCTCTCGATCCCGCCTGCCTCACAGGCACGGCTGGCGGGGACGAGAGATAGGGCCTTCTCGGTGGTGGCCCCTCGGCTGTGGAACGCCCTTCCCACGGATATTAGACTAGCTCCATCATTAATGGTATTCCGCAAAAAAGTGGTTGTTCGAGCAGGCGTTCGAATAGTTAGTGCAATGAGTGTAATGAACATAGGAATGGAACAATGGATGACGGATTTGGATCATGTTTTCAGTGATGAGACGCCAGTGAATGGCTATTGTTGTTAATTATATAGGATTGTTTAGATGTTATGATGTTACTGTTTTTTACCGTGTACTGTATTTTTGCTGTTCGGTTGTTAACCGCTGTGAGTCGCCTAAGGGCTGAGAACAGCGGTATACAAATAAAGTAAATAAATAAATAAATAAATTTAAGTCGAATATCTGAGTCCACACTGCCATATATTCCATTTCAAAGCACCTAATGTGGGATATTATACAGCTGTGTGGAAGCGGCCTCCGAAAATGACGAAAAGCGACTAAGGCCCCATATAAAATCCAGATTATCTGCTTTGAACTGGATTATATGGCAGTGTAGACTCAGATAATCCAGTTCAAGGAAGATAACGTGGATTATCTGCTTTGATAATCTGGATTATATGGTAGTGTAGAAGGTACCTGAGTCATATTTTTGTATTTTCTCCCAAAAATTCCAAACAGCAAACCTTGATTTTGCCATTTTATATAAAGATGCTGTATATAATGGGAATTTATATAAAGGGGCCAGGCTTAGCACAGCAGGTTAAACCACTAAACTGCAGAAAATCCTGCCAATTGAAAGTTGGCAGTTCAAGTTCAGGTTGGGGTGAGCGCCCAACCATCAGCTCCAGCTTCTGCTCACCTAGCAGATCGAAAACAGAAATGTGAGTAGATAAATAGATATCACTTTAAGTGGGGAGGTAATAAAGGCGTCCATAAGGACATCAGGAGGACATCTACGGATGACAAAAAGCTCTTCAGCATGGAAGATGGAGTGACAGCATCCCCCCCTCTCCCCGTGGCCAGAATCGAGCACAGCCTCCAGATGCCGGAAATGGAAAAAGACGGGAAGCCTTTACCTCTGTTTATGTATTGTCTGTCCTGTTAATTGTATAATGGCACTAGTTGTTTGCCATATATATGTTCTGAAATCTGCTCTGAGTCCCCTCAGGGAGATAGAGCGGAATATAAATAAATTATTATTATTATTATTATTATTATTATTATTATTATTATTATTATTTGAAACACAACAAGATGAGTCCACAGCAGACAAGATCACTCTGCTGGCTGTTGTATTGGATCACACGTTGGACACTTCCCAAAGGTCTAGGACTGAGTGATGTATCGGTGAATAATGCATGCAGATCCCAGTAAGGTGGCCTTGTGCAGCTGGCAGATGGTAATTTTGTCAGTGCTGATTGTGTTTAAGTGCAGGCCAAGGTCTTTAGGCACTGCACCCAGTGTGCCAATCACCACTAGGACCACCTTGACTGACTATTATTATTATTATTATTATTAGCATCCCTTGATTTTGGTATCAAAGGATGCTAATGATAATAATAATAATAATAATAATAATAATAATAACAACAACAACAAAATCCTAGTGGGATATCTAGGGACAACTATACTGCTATTTACAATGCATAGCAATTCTACTTGAAAGTTTTAAAATTAAAGCTTTCGTAAGGCAAGACAACTGGGTTATTGTCCATGTCATCCCTAGAGCTTGCTGATCCTCTTGCTTCATTAATTTTAATGGGTTTGATAAAGTTTTTCTCTGTGTTGCCTTGACATAATATCCCACACACAGAGGAAGATAGGGTTGACTTTTCCCCTTGAATATCATCCTCTGAAAGAGTTTCCAATTCCATTAGGCTTGTCTGAATACATCTGCAGGAAGAGAGATTATGGCTCTTTCAATGCTGCCATATAATCCACATTATCTGCTTTGAACTGGATTATGTGAGTCGACACTACCATATAATCCAGTTCAACACAGATAATCTGGATTTTGTATGGCAGTGTAGAAGAGGCAGATGGGCAAAAAGTCTCAGATGCTGGAACATTGTATCACAACGTGACTCATACCCTACTTGCATTAAAGTAAATCAATAAATGGTACGAATTTTAGGGAGGAACTCACCATCTTCATCGATGACAAAATCAAATCCATTTTTTCTGAAGATTTCCAGGTTTTCTATCAAGATACTTTCATTTACAGCAGTTAAATTCAGATTCTGAGGTCTGAAAAAGTCCAAGAGACAGTGCAGACACTTAGTGAGAGACAGTGCAGACAAACGGTGCAGACACTTAGTGAGACAAGACTACTGCTATTGTCTATATTTGTTCTGGGAGGAATTCATCTGATTTGTTTGATTTTTATATATCTACTAACTTGGATATGAGTTAGTCCCCCAACCCCCTCCAGTATGTTCAATTGCCGACCAATTCCTCTCTGTTTGCTGTGCACCATAGGAAAGGGTTAAGGGAGTGGGGGGGGGGGGAAATGCAAATTCCACACCAATGGAGAGAGAAAGGAACACTGGGATGCCTGGGGCAAAGGAAACACATAAAATCTAGGATGAAATTGTCTCCGTCTGAAAGCCTTCACTTCGGTAGTGGGCAGTATGGGGTTTGTGGAGGACACTGACAGGACTCTTGTACATGTTCATGGCGCTCACTATAACCTGCCATGTCAGTGGAGGGAGGGCCTTCGGTGTCTGTGAAAGTGGACACCCTGGCCGCATACATTTAATGTGTTTCCTTTACCTCAGGCATCCCAGTGTTCCTTTCTCTCTCCATTGGTGTGGAATTTGCATGGCATACACATTTTCACCTTTATTATGTGTACAGATATATCAGGGACTATGTAAAAATTACTCAAGTGGAAAGGGATCATGAGTGGGAAAAGTGTAAGAAGCCCTGTCCTCTAACATACTTACGAGATGAGTCTCTGTCCCTGCAGAACCGTATGCTCTTGCAATTGCTCAAAATTGTATTTCTCATCAGAAGCATGTTGATCAATGATGAAGAGGTCGGAGTTCAGCTTGGCTACGATAAATCCCAAATTGAACTGGCCAATGATTTCCATTTTAGCAAACATCTCTTTACTGTATACAAAGAGAAAGACAAAAAAGGCGGTTACACGATTTATAATGCAAGTTCTGCGGTTCTAGAAGAATGTTAATGAGAAAGGGTGAATCATAACAATCTTCCCTGACATCCCCTAAAAATAAGACCTAGTAGAGGCTTTGCTGAATTCCTAAATATAAGGCCTCCCCCGAAAGTAAGGCCTAGCAAAGTTTTTTGTTGGGAAGCATGCTCCCCCTGGTGGTTGGAAGCTGCAATACCATCCCTGCTGTACAAGTGGTCCAGAAACTGCTGTGGGAGATCATTTCAGTCCCTAGACAGTGTGTGGAAGCCAGCTACTTTACAGCCCTTTACAGCCTTACCATGCTCTCAAGAGACCAAAAATAAAGTAGTCCTTGTTAAAATAACACAGTTGGTTTACTCACAACCTTCATGCATTCAGAATACAGGTACTTTTTATATCAATCCAGTTACAGATAGGATTTAAAGTAGTTTCTCTATGTAGATAACACAGGGGATCTTCCTTATAATAAACAGTCCAAAGTCTAAAGCATCTCTCTGTTCTGAGAGTCTAATATAGTCTCTGTCTAGTCTGAAAGTCCAATGGAGTCTCCACAGCAGTGTTTTTCAACCAAGGGGTCAGGACCCATGGGGAGGTCGTGAGGGGGTGTCAGCAGAGTTGCCAAACACCATCAGAAAACACAGTATTTTCTGTTGGTCGTGGGGTTCTGTGTGGGAAGTCTGGCCCAATTCTATCATTGGTAGGGTTCAGAATGCTCTTTGATTGTAGGTGAACTATAAATCCCAGCAACTACAATTCCCAAATATCAAGGTCTATGTTCCTCAAACTCCACCTGTATTCACATTGGGGCATATTTAGTCTTCATGCCAAGTTTGGTCCAAATCGAGTCCACAGTGCTCTCTGGATGTAGGTGAACTACAACTTTAAAACTCAAAGTCAATGCCCACCAAAGCCTTTCAGTTTTTTCTGCTGGTCACGGGAGTTCTATGTGCCAAGATTGGTTTAATTCCATCATAGTGGAGTTCAGAATGCTCTTTTATTGTAGGTGAACTATAAATCTCAGCAACTATAACACTCGAATGACAAAATAAATCTCCCCCCAACCAATCTCCATAGAATCCAAATTTGGGCGTATTGGGTATTTGTGCCAAATTTGGTCCAGCATATGAAAATACGTCCTGCATATCAGATATTTACATTACGATCTATAACAGTAGCAAAATTACAGTTATGAAGAAGCAATGGAAATAATTTTAAGGTTGGGGGTCACCACAACACGAGGAACTGTATTAAGGGGTCACGGCATTAGGAAGGTTGAGAACGACTGCTCTACAGCATTCTGTTTCTACTGACTTTTGTAAAGCATACAATTTCTAAAATGGAGTCTGAGTCCTGAACAGTCCCAGTTCTGATCACATGGTCTGCAGTCCCTCCCACAACAAAGAGTTAAAGGAAACTGGATACCAATACACAAATATACAATACAGTAAGCATTGTCAAAGGCTTTCATGGCTGGAATCACTGGGTTGTTGTAGGTTTTTCGGGCTATATGTCCATGTTCTAGAAGCATTCTCTCCTGACATTTTGCCTACATCTAGGTCAGTTGTTCTCAAGCTTCTTAATGCTGCGGCCCCTTAATACAGTTCCTCATTTTGTGGTGACCCCCAACCAGAAAATTATTTTTGCTGCTACTTCATAACTGTAATTTTGTTACTTTTATGAATCGTCATGTAAATATCTGATATGCAGGATGTATTTTCATTCAGTGGACCAAATTTGGCACAAATGCCTGCTACGCCCAAATTTGAATACTTGTGGAGATTGATTTTATCATTTGGGAATTGTAGTTGCTGGGATTGATAGTTCACCTAAAATCAAAGAGCATTCTGAACTCCACCAATGAGGGAATTGAACCAAATTTGGCACACAGTTCTCCCATGACCAACAGAAAATACTGGAAGGGTTTGGTAGGTATTGACCTTGAGTTTTGGAGTTGTAGTTCACCTACATCCAGAGAGCACTGTGGACTCAAACAATGAAGAATCTGGACCAAACTTGGCACAAATACTCAATATGTCCTAATATGAACACTGGCGCAGTTTGGGGAAAGTAGACTTACCATTTGGGAGTTGTAGTTTCTGGGATTTATAGTTCACCTACAATCAAAGAGCATTGTGAACACCATTAACAATAGAATTGGGCCGAACTTCCTACACAGAACCCCCATGACTGTGTTTTTTGATGATCTTTGGTGACCCCTCTGATACCCCCTTGTGACCCCTCCAGGGGTCCCGACCCCCAGGTTGAGAAACACTGATCTAGGGCAAGTATCCTCAGAAGTTAAGATCTCACAACCTCTGAGGATGCCTGCCATAGATGTAGGCGAAACATCAGGAGAGAATGCTTCTAGAACATGCCCATATAGCCCGAAAAACCTACAACAACCCAATACAGTAAGCATTTATAGACGTAACAAATAAATAATGGAGGCTTGGAGAAGATTGCTATTTCCAACACTATGATGCTATGATTCTGTTTTAAGCTGCACTATGTCGGAGACGACTGAACGAATGAACATCAACAACATGTAATTAATAATAATAATAATAATAATAATAATAATAATAATAATAATATACGGGGTGAAGACCTATATAATCCAATTCAATGCACTTAAACTGCATTCTACAACTGTATTCGATGGTAGTGAAACGAAAAGGCAAAAACAAATACCTTATCTCTTTTCTCAATTCATCCTCTGCTGTTTTATTTTCTCCTGGATTAATTTTGGCCCTAAATTTTCTGTAATGCAAGACTTCAGCTTTCTTCTCTTGCTGCCCGATGAGTTTCTTCACTCTATCCCTTAAGACGTTCAGAGAAAACTCCAGCGGCACCGTCCTCCTTGCCATTTCCACTGGGATGTCACATTGGGAAAGCTGCGCAGACATCTGAATGTCTTTTGTTTCCAAGGGAGAGGGGCTGATCTTCAAGCGCTTCACTTTAGGGGAATATCTGGGGATTTGTTGGGGCGACCCACTCCTATCCCTTTGGTCCGTGCCACATTCTGTTCTTGAGATAGGCCCACTCTTTTCAAGGTCTTCTCTCTGAGCGCCTTCTTCATGAAGGCGGGATTCTTCACCAAAAGAACTCGCTGTGCTTTCACCCCCAATTTCAAGAGACCTTGAACCCATCTCTGATCCTGCCAAGGCACTATCGCCACCAGAATATGGACTTTCTGCCAACTTCTTGACTTTTCCATCAATGACGTCAGTCCGGCTTAAATCCACCACGTTTCCACTCCTGTCCACTTTCTCGGAGCCAATTTCCTTATTTGGTGAATTCAAAACACTAAAAAACGTTGGGAGTTTTCGTTGTCCATGAGAAGGGCACGGCAGATTGGGATTTTCAGTGGATTTTTTCACAGCATAAAGGGAAAACGTTTCCCTAAGTCTGGCAGCCGTCACGGCGATTTTTGCATTTCCACTCCGATTCTGAGACAAGGAATCCTGTGTTTCCAAGGGAGGCGATTCCGCGTCATTTCGAAAAGTAGTTTTAAAGTTCCCTAAGAAAGCGTAAAGAGAAGGAGCAGTTTTAAGTAGTGATGAAAATTCCAAGTTTTAGGAACGTAACAACTCTAATAACGCATACTCTCGTTACAGAAAGAACAAACAGAAGTCAGAAAACTGCCATAGACTGTGGCAATCCAGAGTTTGAGCATCTGAGGAGGAAAATGAAGGGACCTGAGGCTGTTAGGAATTGTGGGAGTTAAAGTCCAAAACACCTGGAGGAAGGGTCCAAGTTTGCTCATGCCTGGGTTAAACCAACCCTTTATGAGACAGAGAAGCATACATAAACAATAATACTCAAATGTATGGGAATACAAGGGAGCCCCTGGTGGCGCAATGGGTTAAACCGCTGAGCTGCTGAACTTGCTGACCGAAAGGTCACAGGTTCAAATCCGGGGAGTGGGGTGAGCTCTCACAGTTAGCCCCAGCTTATTTATTTATTTACAGTATTTCTATTCCGCCCTTCTCACCCCGCAGCGGACACAGGATGTATTACAATGTACATATACATGGCAAACATTCAATGCCATAAACAGGGGTCCTTAAACTTTTTAAACAGAGGGCCAGGTCACAGCCCCTCAAACTGTTGGACGGCCGGATTATAATTTGAAAAAAAAAATTGAATGAATTCCTATGCACACTGCACATATCTTATTTGTAGTGCAAAAACAATTAAAAATAAAATAATTAAAATGAAGATCAAATTTAACAAATATAAAGTTATTAGTATTTCAGTGGAAAGTGAAGCCTGCTTTTGGCTGATGAGATAGGATTGTATTAATGTAATATTACTAATAATATGGTATAGTGCAATATAGTAATATATATACTGATATTGTACTATGCTAATAATATAATATATTGTATGAAAATATATATTGTAAGCCGCTCTGAGTCCCCTTCAGGGTGAGAAGGGCGGCATATAAATGCCGTAAATAAATGTACTTCCTCATTCTTTGCATGCTTGCTGGAGAATTTTATGGCGTCATAAATCAGTAAAATTAGCCTCCCTGCATAAACGATACCTAAATTTCTTATTTGACAGCTGCAACTGTCTTTCGGGCTGCAAAGGTCGACAGCGAGCTACACAATGGTCAGAAGCTCACTCCGACCCAGGCTGGCTTTGAACTCATGACCTTCCAGTCAGTAGTGATTTAATGCAGCTGACTCCCAGTCAGCAGTGCCACAGACACGGTGTCAATCTAGCAGTTCGAAAATATGCAAATGCGAGTAGATCTGGCGGGAAGGTAACGGCGCTCCATGCTGCTATGCCAGCCCATGACCTTGAAGGTGTCTATGGACAACACCGGCTCTTCGGCTTAGAAATGGGAATGAGCACCACCCTCCAGAGTCGGACATGACTAGATTTAATGTCAGGGGAAAACCTTACCTTACCTATGGGAATACAATATATCTCATGTAAATCTTGCAT